AGACAACAACATTGGCAGACGTCCTTAAACAGACAACAACATTGGCAGACGTCCTGAAACAGACAACAACATTGGCAGACGTCCTGAAACAGACAACAACATTGGCAGACGTCCTGAAACAGACAACAACATTGGCAGACGTCCTGAAACAGACAACAACATTGGCAGACGTCCTGAAACAGACAACAACATTGGCAGACGTCCTTAAACAGACAACAACATTGGCAGACGTCCTTAAACAGACAACAACATTGGCAGACGTCCTTAAACAGACAACAACATTGGCAGACGTCCTGAAACAGACAACAACATTGCCAGACGTCCTGAAACAGACAATAACAATGGCAGACGTCCTGAAACAGACAACAACATTGGCAGACGTCCTGAAACAGACAACAACATTGGCAGACGTCCTGAAACAGACAATAACAATGGCAGACGTCCTGAAACAGACAACAGCATTGCCAGACGTCCTGAAACAGACAATAACAATGGCTGACGTCCTGAAACAGACAACAACATTGGCAGACGTCCTGAAACAGACAACAACATTGGCAGACGTCCTGAAACAAACAACAACAATGGCAGACGTCCTGAAACAGACAACAACATTGCCAGACGTCCTTAAACAGACAACAACATTGGCAGACGTCCTGAAACAGACAACATTGGCAGACATCCTTAAACAGACAACTGACAGACATGTCCTGAAACAGAAACAATTCTTTTGCAATGTTTGAAAACAGATAACTGACCTGAAATCTTGTTACGCAATCTACTTTTCAAAGGTGAAGGTCAGTCTAACCTTGCCTCTCCCATGTTCATTTATAGACTGGGAAACCGCAGATGTCTGTCTTGGGTTTCTTGTGGAACCAAGCAAATACTTGTTGATAACAATTACTCAGCACTAATGACTAATATTTTGGCGTTTGTTTGTACGAGTATTTTAACGCACCATACATTGATTTTAGATATGAATGTTATTCGATGATATACCAGCATCACACGCAAATCGTGCACCCGCCATTAAGCAAATATCAACTTTCGGGGAACTGTTCTTAAAGCTCGATAACTTGGAAAGAATCAAGATATCGTTGTTGAACAGCAAATTTGGGGCCTCCTCAAGAGACAACTCAAAGACCGCAAATTATTGTGTCGTAGACTAACATGTTGTCTCTTCTTATAGAAAAATCGGTATCTGAATTAATTTCATGAAATACATTAAAAAGGAGCCCCGAGTCTTTCTTCATTTCCAAAACTGTGGTAATCGAGACTTGACACATATTCTAGACTTGCATATCGCCCCAGCAAGGAATGTATTGGGTATATAATTGTTTCAGGGTATGCGGAATTCTGACATGTCATTGAGAGCTATTGCAAGAGATGTTGGTTGTCATCCAATCGACTATCAGCCGACTGGCCAGAAAACATCAGCAAACTAAAGACGTTAGGGGCCGTGAGTGTTCAGGTCGACAACTCCAGCGATGATACAGCCCTTTCAGAATCTCAAGACTTCATCCGTTCATGTCAAAACGGCATCATGGCGTGTTAAAAACAGAGTGGCTTCCACATCATCGTTTATCCAACAGAACAGTCTAATAAAATCTGAATGGTCAGCGGTACATCACTGACACTCTAGATCCTAGACGGGGTTGCTGTGCCACATTCCGATGATCATACCCTTAACACAAGGCCTGACTTCCTGGGCCTCCTTTCACAAAACACTAAGGTGATCGTAAGTCTCTAAGGTAACCCTAGTGCAGTGTTAAAGAATGGGAGTTAAGGTTAACCTTAGTAAAGGTTGCTTCGTGAAAGGAGCCCCTGGACGATAATGCTGGTCCACAGCGTGCACCTGCTGTAGGGGATTTCTTACGTCAAGAGGCAGTAGCAACTCCACCTTGGCCCACCAGGAGTCCAGATCTCAGTCTTACAGAGCATGTTTGGGACATTATATACTAGAGAGATCTCCCAGTACAAAATCTTGATGTATTGGAACAAGCCCTCAGTGAAGAATGGAACGCAATACCCCAACGTCAAATTCAACTTCTGATACAGTCATTTAGCAGGAGGGTTAGGGATGTTATTGCAGTTGGTGGAGGTTACACCATTTATTGACATTGTACTCGGTTATTGATATTTATGTTGCTACTTTCTCAAGGAATATAATCCAGAATCCTGAAGATGACAGCAATGTTAACGTCATACTACCATAGTTATCCGCACTATGCATTGAGAGATTTTAGCCATGTTTGCTTTTCTGAATAAACTAGTTTTTCGTTCTTTTTTGCATCTATATTTACAGTATTAGTGTATTTAAACACAACATTTTATTGGAATCAAATCATTACATTGCAAATAAGCGATTACTTGTCTGTTAATCTTTTAATCTTTTTCCACCCGGAAGGCATCATAGCAACCCTACTTGTGGATGAATCTGAGTGATAAAAGTCACGTATCGTAGCAACCTTTCACCACAGTTCAACTTCAACTGAAATACTGTTCTAAATATTAAAGAAACCCAATTCATTTATTTTAGATCTGATCTCCCTCTCTACTTCCTGTTGTCCATAGCAACTGTTGGCTACTGCATACAGACAGCAGACGTCATTGGCGGTAGGGACCGTCCTTGTCAGCGAAACCGAAGCGCCGTGATATAACTGATATTCTATTCTACGAAGCGTTAAAATGAACCAAATCATTCATAGAGATTATTACACTCGCAAGTGTGCCATACAAATTAAACGAAACGAGTGTGAAATTTTGTATTTCACAAACTCGTTTGGTATAAGTCGTATAGCACACTTGCGATTGTAATAATATCTTTATTATCCATTTATTCATGTACATTTGTGCAGCAAAACACTGTAAGCAAGTGTGACGGCCCTCTTCATTGACGTCACGCTCAATTGTTTAATGACGTCACAGACGACGAAATACAGAAACAATGGTTGCTAGGCAAAAGTGATATGTGCACATGATCATGTTTCACCATATAGGTAATAAATTATGATCTCATCTCCCTATCTACTTTGGTACCTCAGAGACCAGACGTCGAAGGCGGTAGGGGCATAATAAAATAAATAAAGACCACTTCTCTTGACAGTCGGTTTTCTTATCCCATATCATGATCGTCCTCCCTATCATGATCATTTAATACCAGTACCGACGTCTCTACGTATCTCCTTGACTGCCGCGGGATCTTGTAACATCCAAGAAATTGTGAAGCAATACACATTTCACATATTGAGTGTGACAGCAATGTAAATTTTGTTTAAACTTGATGTTTAGTATATAGTCAAAGTGTTGATATTTGCGACACTATTTGATCTCCAAATCTCTGAGCCATAAAGCAAAATAGACATAATTATATAATAAATTAACATAATACTTCATACAGAACTTGATTAAATATGTGTAATGCCCTTAATATGCCTGAACGGAACATAACTAGCCTGAGGAACGATAGTATGCTTATCCCCAAGCCGGTTCAGTTAATCTTTACCCAAATATGTATCGACAGCTCTATTATATGGTCTCTAGTATCGAATAACATCACAGAATTTCATATTATCATACCAGTTTTCACTTCCCGAAAATTACCTCCATTCCTAAAAAACAATTTTAAACTTAATTGTTACTTGGTTATAATTACAATGTGATTTTGATATACATGTTCTGGATCAAATTTCAAAATGATATCGGTATAAATAACGCAGATAGTTGAACCAACTCTTGCTGTAACAGGCTATAAACTTCGGACAATGGTTATGTGTACTCGACCATACCACTGTCCAGGCCTGCAGTTGTTCTGGATCAAAGTTCTACTTAGTTACATATGTTTCGAAACTGTGTTAATCATGCAATCAGTGGACAATGCTGTCGTTATGGGTGTTGGTAGTTAATTTTTCAGGTGTATATTATCTAACAAAATGTCACGAGTTATAAAAGTACAGTCACGTTTCATATCTCAGAACACTGATGTCTACTGATCCTGGCCGACATATATCCTGCAACGAGAAAAAATTATCTTTGAGACTTGTACACAGTTCAGACCCTATTTCCTTCACAACTAAAATATGCATCTTCTTTATCAAATGAGACCTGCGTAATTTGAATGCATTACAAGATTTTTGTACTGTTTAGTTTGTTGTTCAATGCTGCCCTCAGCAATATTTCAGTATATGGCGGCGGTCTGTAAATAATCGAGTCTGGACCAGACAATCCAGTGATCAACAGCATGAGCATCGATCTGTGCAACTGGGATACGATGACATGTGTCAACCAAGTCAGTGAGCCTGACCACCCGATCCCGCTAGTCGCCTTTTACAACTTCAAGGGTTGTTGTACAGTATAACAGGCTGCTCTATAAGTATATGAAAGTGTAGCAGAACCCAAATATACTGATCTAAACAGGGAACGCATGACGTACAAGTGTTCCTCTATTGTTGTCTAGGTTTCTTCACATGCATTGTACTGCACTGTAGATGCAAATTTGGGAATTAGTAAAGGAACAATTGTACTTTCAGGTGTTCCCTTTTTGTTTCCATCGGTCTATTTTAAGTTGTCTCCAAATAAGTCCAGTTTGTTTACATCTCTTACGAAAAGGTGGTAAAAAGATCACGTGCAGTTTGTTTGTTGTTTTACGCCGCACTCAGCAATATTTAAGCTGAGTGACGGCGGTCTGTAAATAATGGAGTCTATACCAGACAATCCAGTGATTGACGTCATGAGCATAAATCGTCGCTACGACGTGTGAACCAAGTCGCCTTGTACGACAAGCAAGGGTTGCTGCAGACCAGTTCTAACCTTGATCTTCTCCGGGTCGCTGCGAGTCAGTTGTCACGTGACTGTAATGGCTGACAAGCAGAGGGAGTGCTGACAGGGTCCACATTGTTGAGAACTAAATGAAAGGAATTCGGTGCATGTACCGTTGTTCCTATCAGGAATCAAGTATCCAAATATGGCATATCTATTTTGGACAACTGGGGCCAAGGGCACAGACGCTCAAGACAATCATTAAATAATATATCGAGCATGATAGATAAGAATCTTCCACTCACATAAGTAGCCGTTTTGAACAAACGACAATCATTAGTACCATCATGAAGACAACGATCAGTATTCTCTTGTTGTTCGCGGGTAAGTGGCTATAACTCTAACATGTTTACTATTTTGTTGATATGTTGTTGTTCCCAATATGTTTCTAAGAAGGTGACATTACTCACATCATGCCACAAAAGAATTGTGTCGATCCACGCTCCTCAACAAAACATTATTCAATAGGTCCCAAACACCATACCAAGGGCCAACTCAGGGCCAAGGAGTAGCGAGTAATGGTTTAAGCGTCCGCTCGTCATGCCGAAAACCCGGGGTCGATTCCCCACATTGGTACAATGTGTGAAGCCCATTTCTGGTGTCCCCCGCCGTGATATTGCTGGAATGTTGCTAAAAGCGCCGTAAAACCATACTCACTGGGGGCTACGGGAGACCAGAGATTGGCTGCCAATGGGGTGTGTGCAGAATCACACACTGAGTGAGTGAGTGAGTGAGTTTAGTTTGACGCCGCTTTTAGCAATATTCCAGCGATATCACGGCGGGGACACCAGATATGGGCTTCACACAATGTGCCCATGCGGGAAATCGAACCCGGGTCTTCGGCGAGACGAGCGAACGCTTTAACCACTAGGCTACCACCCACGCGCCGCCCCCACACACACACATCTTCTGTGTAACACTACCATGGTTTAATCACTGGGCTACGCTGTACCGCATCACTCCTTTAAAGTTAAAGCTGGGCGAAAGTGTTGGTGGGTAATCTAACGGTTATAGCATTCACTCGACCGAGTTTGATTCCATACTTGGATAGTGTGTGAAGCCCATTGCTGGTGTCCCCCGTCATGGCATTGCAGGACTATTGATAAATCGGCGTAAAACCCAACTCACTCGCTCACTTCAGTCCGAAACTTTCAATTACATGACGACGTGTCGGTTTGATGAGGGAAAGCCGGAAGTGATGCAGCTGTTATTAATTTCTTTACTTGTACTGATGACAGGTATGGGCGATGTGCTGGAAAACCTAGAATCACATAACCACAGAGAATTTGGTACCCAATCGACAAACATTTTGCTCCGCTTATGCAAGTTTACATTTGGTTCAAAATGCATTTTTTTTCGGTTTCTCCTTTAAGAGAAGCAGCATGTGTGTCTTGAAGCAGTATCTCAAGAGATATTTTAAAAAAATCCCTAGCCGAGAATATACAAAAACCGTGTCAAATACCTACCGGTCAGATAACAGTGAGTGACCCTGCTGATTATTCCGGCGGTGGGGTAGCCTAGTGATTAAAGCATTCGCTCTTCAGTACCTTTGTACAGTGTGTGGAGCCTATTGCTGATGTCCCAGAACTATTGCTACAACAGGCGTAAAACACATCTCACTCACTCTCACGTCAGTCCAGAACAGTATTCCCATTATTTGACGACGTGTCAGTTTGAAGTGATGCAGATGATTTTTTCATTGTTAAATGTTTAAGTTAAATGTAACATATGTTATATTTCGGATTACACTTTCTTTGTGAAGTACATATTCTAGTACTTTTTGTTGGGTTGAGTCCCATCCGGGATTCGAACCCACACCCTCAGAGTCAAGCACCTAATCGCCAGCACACAAAGTCGCTCAGTCACCGCGGCTTCCACAAAAATGGAAGTCGGACAACTGGTAGTCCAGACTGCGGAGCTTGTTTACCCCTCTGATAAGTGTTAAGTTAAATGTTAAGTGATGTAGATGTTAGTAGTATTGAACTTCGACTGATGACAGGTACGGGTGTTGTGATGAAACCTTGAGAATTTGGTACCCAATCGACAATCATTTTGCTACGCCTATGGGCTTGCGTTTGGTTCAAAACACATTTTTTCGGCTTCTCCTTTAAGAGAAGCCAGGTGTGTGTCTTGAAGCAGTATCTCAAAAGGTATTTTATCTCTGGAAAGAATCCCGACCCGAAAATATACACAAACCGTGTCAAATACCTATCGCCCAACGATTGCCGTTCCGAAGATAATAGTGAGTGACGCTGTTGATTGTAGCTGACACGATTATTGGGGAGGTAGGGTAGCCTGATGGTTAAAGCGTTCGCTCTTCACGCCGAAGACCTGGGTTCGATTCCCCATATGGGTACTGCTAAAATCATACTCACACGATTATTTACAGGTTTCTTCGGTGTACCGCGGCAAAAACCGACCCAGTCATTCTTTCATAATTATCCATTTTTGTTTACATGGATAGTTATTATCTGTGGTAATATATGTGAGGAACAAAGATACAGTAAACTAAGGTTCATTATACGCATTTCGACTAAAATCTATAGTAACTGCTAGGATACCCGTGAAGATGGGTTAGAATTGGTCTTCAGCAACCCATGCTTGTCGTAAGTGGCGACCTACGGGATCGGGTGGTCAGGCTCGCTGACTTGGTTGACACATGTCATCATCGTATCCCAAAAGCGTAGATCGATGCCCATGTTGTTGATCACAGGGTTGTCTAGTCCAGATTCGATTATTCACAGACCGCCGCCTTACAGCTGGAATATTGCTGAGTGCGGCGTAAAACTAAACTTACTCACCTAATGAAGATCCGGGTTAGAATTGATCTTCAGTAATCCATGCTTGTAGTAAGTGGCGACTAACATGTCATCGTATCCCAATGCGTAGATCGATGCTCATGCTGTTGATCACTGGTCCAGACTCGATTATTTACAGACCGCCGGCATATAACTGGAATATTGCTGAGTGCAAACATAAGTAACCGCTAATCGCCCTAAAATATTTTGTTTTCTTTGTCAGTTCCTCAGAGTCGTGTTTGGAAACGTAGTTTACTGTTATGAAAATAATATCTTTGTTATATATAGACTATTTCCTTTTTGAGCAGCCTCGACCTGGGCGAACCAGAAGTGTCAGATGCACGATGGCATCAGGATGTTTAACGGCAAGCACTGTGCATCCACCACTCGTTACAACGACGGCCACAAGGGGGCGTGTGGGTGTGGAACAAATGACACACCTTTCCCATGGAACAACAACCAGTATGTTGCCGCAGCCAATCAGAAGCTGTTCAGCAAGTCCGGAACAAAGTGGTGCGGCGACAGCTGTGGCAAGTGTGTCAAGCTGACGACAACTGGTGAGTACACCGAGTTTGGGCCCCGGGACGTTTATATGGAAGTTTATTAGGGCCACAGTCCAGGGCCCCGTTTCACAGAGCTATCGCAGCGCTACGACTCTCGTAACTCCTACACTGTTACTTAGACTTACGACAGTCGTAGCGCTACGATAGCTTTGTGAAACGGGGACCGGAAGGGTTTTATCATCTTTATCATAGCACGTAGAAGATACTTCCATCTAAGTGGTCGGAGGTGAGGTGAAATTGGGTTTTACGTCGTGCTTGAGAATATTTCGCTCATATGACGACGTGCATGCGTGTGTATGTGTATGTGCGGCTGCTTGTACTAGCCCAGACTTAAGCTGGTTTTATAGTGCAAGTGGTCGGAGGGGTAGTCTAGTGGTCAAATCGTTCGCTCGTCACGCCGAAGACCCGGGTTCGATTTCCCACATGGGATCAATGTGTGACGCCTATTTCTGGTGTTCCCAACACCCCCACCCCACCCCTGTGAATATTGCAAAAAGCGGCGTAAAAATAAACTCACTTACTCCATCTATGTAGACGACACTAACATCTACGTAGTTTTGATGTGATTTATGTTTTGCAACATGTTGATCGTTTATTCTTATTTGGCTTTCTTTGTATCATATTTTCACAACAGAAATTATTTTAAAGTATTATATCAGCGTAAAATGAAAAAAATAACAAGCCTCTGCGATAATGAGTTATGAGTCATCTTCAGTAGCCCATGCTTGTCGTAAGAGGCGACTAACGGGATCGGGTGGTCGGGCTCGCTGACTTGGTTGACACGTCATCGTATCCCAGTTGCTCATGATGTTGATCACTGGACTGTCTGGTCCAGACCCGATTATTTACAGGCCGCCGCCATATAGCTGGAATATTGCTGAGTGCGGTGTCAAACTAAACTCACTCACTCATGAATTCGGATACTCCGGGCTGATATTTTATTCTTTGACACAGGCGGTTCCATTCCCGGCGCTGGCACCGGTGCTTCTGCTGGACACAGTCACGTGTTTATGATCACCAACGACTGCCCCGACGAAGCCCCCAATATGGAATGGTGTGCCCAGAAGGGAGGCCCCGGAAGCAAGCAGACCAACACTCACGGTTATGAAGTGCATTTTGACCTGGAAGACAATGGCAACCAAATCTCAAAGTTGGGCTGGGACAACCCTGAAGTAACCTGGGAATGGTCCAGTTGCCATGGCAGCGGTACCCCAACAGAACAGATGTGGCATACCTGTGAATGTTCTAAATAAAATGAAACTATGGATGCCATTCGGTTCTTCTTGTTTGTATGGAATATGGAATAAAGTGGTAGAAACAAAAGCTGCTAATGTACGTTTTTCGTGATGAACGTGTTTATGTGGGTTGAGGCTCTTACAAATATAGTGGGGCGGTGGGGTAGCCTAGTGGTTAAAGCGTTCGCTCGTCATACCGAAGACCCGGGGTCGATTACCCACATGGGTACAATGTGTGAAGCTCATTTCCCCCGACGTAATATTGGTGGAAAATTGCTAAAAGCGGCGTAAAACTAAACTCAATCACTCACTAGAAATACATTTCCATCGATTCAGCTTGATGTGACTGGAAATGTGAGTGAGTGCATGGGAGAGGTTTTCACCCACCATTCCTATTACTGAACGATGTCTCAGCATGATGTAGGAGTGAGTGAGTTGGGATTTACACCGCTTTTAGCAATATTCCAACAATATCACGGCGGGGGACACCAGAAATGGGCTTCACACATTGTATCCGTGTGGGGATTCGAACCCGGGCCTTCGGCGTGACGAGCGAACGATTTAACCACTAGGCTACCCCACCGCCTCTCATGACGTAGGAGGAAAGCTCAATGTATTATATTCCTTTTATGTTTACATCTCTGGTGAAACCTGCGAGCACAGGGATGGAGCTGACAAAGCTAGAACTGGCAGCAAGGCGAACCGGGATTCGAACCCAGAATCGCAGGTTTCTGAACCATGGGACGCAACACGGTACAGAAAAATTGCGGCGTATGAGACGAGTGGGTCATCCTCGCTCCCTTAATGCAAAGATATGGTCAGATCAGTGTCTAAATTACAAATATGGCGTTTCACACAACTTTGTCATGACAACTATACAACAGCCTGCAGTATCAAGTATGGACCAACCGTGGCAAAGTGGGCAAAGACTGACTGACTGAGTTTACGCCGCTTTTAGCAATATTCCAGCAACATCACGGCGGGGGACACCAGAAATGGGCTTCACACATTGTGAACCGGATTCGAACCCGGGTCTTCGGCGTGACGAAGTGGGCAAAGATACTATAAGTATTCCGTGACTTCAAAAGTTGGTTGGGCGGTGGGGTAGCCTCGTGGTTAAAGCGTTCGCTCGTCATTACGAAGACGAGGGTTCGAGTCCCAATATGGGTATAATGTGTGAAGCCCATTTCTGGTGTACCCCGCCGGGATACTGCTGCAATATTGCTAAAAGCGGCGTAAAAGTAAACTCACTCACTCACTTAACCGATTGACATGCCAGGATCCATTGAACAGTAGTTACGCTAGGAAAGCTTTGTGGATCAGTGTTTGAAATTCTGATACTTTGGATTTCAACTGCACATCTGCATGGATTCTGTTCCTTGGTTTGACATTACCCGAGATGAGAAACGTTTGAACTTCCGGCTTCATTTAACATTAAACTGAAATAATGTTATTTCATAAAATAAAATCTGATTAACTTCCGCCCTATAACTATTTCTGTATTGCCCATCAAAAGTTTACACTCACTAGTGTAAATGTAGCCACTTACTTCAGTCAACTGTTCTAATCTAGATTTTGCTAAATATTCCATAATGTTTAATGGTTAAAGCATTAGCTCGTCACGCTGAAGACCTGGGTTCAATCCTCATATGGGTACAAAGCCCATTTCTGATTTCCCTTAGCTCGTCACGCTGAAGACCTGGGTTCAATCCTCATATGGGTACAAAGCCCATTTCTGATTTCCCCACCGAGATACTGCTAGAATATTGCTAAAAGCCGGGTGAACCTTATAACCCAGGTAACCTTTGACTGTTGAAAAAGGGTGGATATTTTCAACTTAGATATTTTAATGTTTGTGAATATGTTAAAAACGTTGCTGCGTTTACAGGGAATGCTCTCGCACATGTTACAAAAGTTCCTTTATACAAGGCCATGATACCCTCTGATTTTACTGTTTTTCTCAAACAATCTATCATGCCGTTATAACTTCCGGATAAATCCGCTTGCATCCGGCTCTTGATGACGTCAAATGGCATAATTGAGAACCATGTGACTGTTCCGGAAGTCCCTCCCGCCATGAGACTGGCAAATATACCCCGGTCGTCAGTGAGTCCACGATCGTGCATAACGTCGGTGAGGTATTCGTAGATTGCACAGTAGAGGCCGTAGCTGGGAATGTCTCTGAATGCCATGGCCGTGAGACCTCGGTAACACCCAGACACACCATTCTGTCGAACGGTCGCCATGACAGCTTCCCAGGGCCCTTTGAAGTAGGGGGAGGCAACTCTGGCTGTGCCTAATATAAACAGAAAGTATTTTCAACAACTATGACGCATCTTGGAAACCACTGATAACCGCCATAACAAACAAAAATATAACGTTAGATTAAGAAAAAAGAGGGTTCTAGAAGCGATAACAGCTTACGACATACGTTCTATAAAGAGAACGTAAACCATGCAAGAAGTACTGTCGCCGAAAGGTGTTTGTCTTTCATTCTCATTCAAAATCAGATTTTTATGAAGACTTCCCATTAGATGCCAAGTAATACAGATCTTTTGCGAACTTTGACCCACCATTAGCCACATTAGCCAAGCAGAAAGCACATTTCTCGAGTTTTAAGGCACTGAATTGAAAATTGCACTTACATCCTACATTTCAAAAATGTTTAACCGGAATAAGAGAACATTTTTGAATGTCAAATTGATACCCGGTATTGTAATACATGTCTATACTTCCCACTGGCTATGGCCCGTTTTTTTTTTCATTTTAAATGTTTACAATCCGTAAATGGTGTTCGGAATGCCCCGTTTTAATCACTTCGAGTTTGCATGATCAGAAAAAGTCGTCGGACTCTGATCTGTCGAGTGAATGTTCTGGCATGATCAATCCCCAAATCTAGGTGTAGCCGGAGCTAGAAGTAAGATCTGATTTTGATAAGAGGGGTTCTACTATAAAAATTGTGTTAAGCTGCCACATCGTTAACCCAAAGTAAAGAAGTGCCTGTCAGCATGACGGTTTGGAGACAAAGAGTCTAAGACCCGCGAAGATCCGGGTTAGAATTGATCTTCAGTAACCTATGCTTGTCGTAAGAGGCGACTGACGGGATCGGGTGGTCAGGTTCGCTGGCTTGGTTGACACGTCATTGGTTCCCAATTGCGAAGAACGATGCTCATGCTGTTGATCACTGGATTGTCTGGTCCAGATTATTTACAGACCGCCGCTATATAGCTGGAATATTGCTGAGTACGGCGTAAAACTAAACTCACTCACTCACTCAAAGAGTCTAAACACATTGCGGATCAAACATCCAAATTATTTTTGTCAAATCTAACTCTACATTCGTACAAGGAAGAAGATCCGGGTTAGTCGAGCCACTGGTCATGAGACCTACGCCCAGGGCCTCAGTGAGTCTTTGGACTCGGCCCGTGAAGAACCGGGTTAAAATTGGTCTTCAGCAACCCATGCTTGTCGCGAGAAGGCGACTAACGGGATCGGGTGGCCAGGCTCGCTGACTTGGTTGACATATGTCATCGCATCGATGGTATGCATAGTTCGATGCTCATGTTGTTGATCACTGGATTGTCTGGTCCAGACTCGATTATTTACAGACTGCTGCCAATAGTTTTAGATAGATGATCATGCTGTTGATCACTGGATTAATTAGATTTGTTACAGACCGCCGCCATATAGCTGGAATATTGCGAAGTGCGGCGTTAAACAACAAACAGCAAACAAAGCATGGAAACTAAAGTTCAGTGGTACCTTTTTTTCCCTGAGGTAGTTTCGTGAGGTATCTGTGACTGTAGAATGACCTTACAGAGGTCAACAGGACAGGCGACAACCAACTGAGCGGCTCCCGCGACACACCCCGCCACGTAGATGTCCAAATATGACGCTCGGTCACGTTCGCTGCGCCTGTGTTGCATAAGCTGTAGAGTGTTTCCGTAGATTCCGAAGAATACCGAGTTGATAACGCCATACGACAGCAGCGGCCATGACATCCCTCGGAAGAAACCTCTTGTCTACAAGAACAAACGAAAAAGGTAGACTTTGTTCATGCATGTCATCGTACCCACGGTGCTCATTATGTCAATCACTGGACTGTCTGGTCCAGAATTGACTATATACAGGTAGCCGTCATGTAGTTGGAATATTGCCCACTTGCCGAGTGTGGTGTTAATGCAAGACTAGGTGAAACCAGCAAGGTGAAAAACGACCCGACAAGCAAAACAAGCAATACGTCAGTTACCTTTAGTTGAATTGGAGTGAGTGAGTTTAGTTTCACGCCGCTTTTAGCAATATCACAGCAATATCACAGAAATGGGCTTCACACATTGTACCAATTTGGGGAATGGAACCCGGGTCTTCGGCGTGACGAGCGAAGGATTTAACCACTAGGCTACCCCCCGCTCCTAGTTGAATTAGAAAGCTAATAATAAAAAATATAGTAAACGGAAACTAAAGGAAGCATCATCACTTTGATATTGAAATACAATGTTTTAGGATCAACCAACCATTTGTATATTTTCTGAATACATTATTACTTGAGTGAGTTTAGTTTTATGCCGCTGTTAGCAATATTCCAGCACTATCACTGCAGGGAACACGAGAAATGGGCTTCATTCATTGTTCCCATGGGGAATTGATCCCGGTCTTCGGTGTGACAAGCGAACACTTTAACCACTAGGCTACCCCACCACTTTATTGTAAAATAGAAAATACTTGCACCAATAAAATTGTTCGTTTGGCATGTCGGATATCATGAAACAAAAACATACAACTTTTTATACAATGGAGGGTGCGGAAGCTGTAGAATGCGACGTCCAAGAAGGCCCCACAAGTGCTCTGTCGGAGACATGTCAGGGGATCTTTGTGGCCAAGGCTGGACGGGCACGTTCTTGGCGTTGAGAAAGGCCGTTGTTACAAAAGCGGTGTGAGTTTTTGTACTGTCTTGCTGAAACAAGGTTCCTGGATATTGCTGGAGGAAAGGCAGGATATGGGTCCGCAGGACTTCATCAATATACCGACGGGCTGTCAGGCTGCCATTGATGATAACAAGGTCGGTCTTGGTGTTCCCACATGCCACCCCAAACCGTCACACTCCCTCTACCATATGGTTCCGTTTCCTGAACGCAACAACGTGCCGTCCGTTCCCCACGCCGGTGGTAGACACGTCTTCGGTCGTGAGTGCTGTTCAAATGGAACCTACTCTCGACGCTGAAAAGGACCCGTTGCCGGTTCCGTTGCTGCCACTGACGAACATTCCTGGCCAAAACCAATCTTCGACGTCGATATTCCCGCGCTTGCCGAGTGTGGTGTTAATGCAAGACTAGGTGAAACCAGCAAGGTGAAAAACGACCCGACAAGCAAAACAAGCAATACGTCAGTTACCTTTAGTTGAATTGGAGTGAGTGAGTTTAGTTTCACGCCGCTTTTAGCAATATCACAGCAATATCACAGAAATGGGCTTCACACATTGTACCAATTTGGGGAATGGAACCCGGGTCTTCGGCGTGACGAGCGAAGGATTTAACCACTAGGCTACCCCCCGCTCCTAGTTGAATTAGAAAGCTAATAATAAAAAATATAGTAAACGGAAACTAAAGGAAGCATCATCACTTTGATATTGAAATACAATGTTTTAGGATCAACCAACCATTTGTATATTTTCTGAATACATTATTACTTGAGTGAGTTTAGTTTTATGCCGCTGTTAGCAATATTCCAGCACTATCACCGCGGGGAACAAGAGAAATGGGCTTCATTCATTGTTCCCATGGGGAATTGATCCCGGGTCTTCGGTGTGACAAGCGAACACTTTAACCACTAGGCTACCCCACCACTTTATTGTAAAATAGAAAATAATTGCACCAATAGAGTTGTTCGTTTGGCATGTCGGATATCATGAAACAAAAACATACAACTTTTTATACAATGGAGGGTGCGGAAGCTGTAGAATGCGACGTCCAAGAAGGCCCCACAAGTGCTCTGTCGGAGACATGTCAGGGGATCTTTGTGGCCAAGGCTGGACGGGCACGTTCTTGGCGTTGAGAAAGGCCGTTGTTACAAAAGCGGTGTGAGTTTTTTTACTGTCTTGCTGAAACAAGGTTCCTGGATATTGCTGGAGGAAAGGCAGGATATGGGTCCGCAGGACTTCATCAATATACCGACGGGCTGTCAGGCTGCCATTGATGATAACAAGGTCGGTCTTGGTGTTCCCACATGCCACCCCAAACCGTCACACTCCCTCTACCATATGGTTCCGTTTCCTGAACGCAACAACGTGCCGTCCGTTCCCCACGCCGGTGGTAGACACGTCTTCGGTCGTGAGTGCTGTTCAAATGGAACCTACTCTCGACGCTGAAAAGGACCCGTTGCCGGTTCCGTTGCTGCCACTGACGAACATTCCTGGCCAAAACCAATCTTCGACGTCGATATTCCGGCGGTAACGTCATGCCCCTCAACGGTCTATAGGCTCCGATTTCCATGTTGACGTTGTCGTCTGGACACTGTCCACCTGCTGACCCGATGACCGAGGCTAAGCGCAGATGATGACGTCACGGCGAGGAATCTGTTGCTTAAATGAGGCGTTCGTATATAACGGTCCTCTTGTGGGGTAGTGACTTCCGGTCGACCGCTCCTCGGCCTGTCTGTTGTCAGGCCAGTTTGTCTGTAACGTGGGACCAATGTCCCACTCGTTCTTTTTGCACAACCCAGGATTCTTCCAACATGGTCGTGCGTTGCCCCCAGCTGCAGCATGCCAATCGCCCTTTCTCTCTTTTCTGCTGTTAATCGAGGCATGTCCTGCTGGTTTTTCAGATGATTGTGATTCCAAAGAACAGTTTCCAACGAGTTTTATAACCGATCTCCATACGGGTTATTACCTGAACGTGCAGGAAATTTCACTGAATAAAGTCATTTTTCCCGCTTCTGGCATGCAACACATACATTTCCTTGGGGCGTCATGCATTTGTGTGTTTGGGCAATGTGTTCCGAACTGTTTTTTTCATGTTTTTGGCCATATCCAGCAAATATAATATAATCTAAATTTTCGGGACGTTTCTTTTGCACGTGAGTGTAGTTAAGAACCACCCAATTCGTTCATGGATATTCTCGCATGGCATATCCTTAACATTTTTTGTAGAATAGTTGTTCGTTGCTGTTAGTGGAAAGAACTGCGTTTCTTGAAGCATTGACCAAGCATGAGCATTCTGTCTCTAACAAAGATCTTAACAAACATGACACCATTGAGTTCATTCTTAATATTTCAAGGGAGCGGTTTTGTAGCCTAGTGGTTAAAGCGTTCGCTCGTTACGCCGAAGACCTGGGTTCGATTCCCCACATGGTTACAATACATGAAGCCCATTTCTGGTGTCCCCCGTCGTGATATTGCTGGAATATTGCTAAAAGCGGCGTAAAAATAACTTCACTCGCTAATATTTCAGGGGACAATCCCGACCCAATTTCAAGTTCATCATGGATAATATCCGACACTTACTAGACCTTGTGTCTGTATGTGCTTCAGAGCATCCATTGTGCCATGATACTTGGTTCTGCTGGACTGTGTCTGCAGCTGTACCTGCGAACACCAAGACTTTCATGAAACCATTGCAAACTAAACAAGAGGTCATCTGAACATCCGGGTTAGAATTTGTCTTCAGCGACCCATGCTTGTCGTAAGAGGCGACTAGCGGGATCGGGTGGTCAGGCTCACTGACTTGGTTGACACATGTCATCGTATCCCAATTGCGCAGATTGATACCTATGCTATCGATCACTAGATTGCCTGGTCCAGACTCGATTATTTACAGAGAGCTGCCATGTAGCTGGAATATTGCTGAGTGTGGCGTTAAACAACAAACACCAGACACACCTATATCTCATCTGCATCATTTATCCCATCTACAGACGTTGTCGGTTTGCAATGGTTCCGTTGTTTTCCCTGTAGTTTTGTTCTGGCCAGTAGCTTATCAAATATCTGCTGGGATAATGGTGCTTTCTGCATAACTGTATGGGAACTTCATAAATTATTTTCTACAACTGACTGTCAGTTTCCAAATTTTGTTAGCCAGGCGGGCTAGCTGGGCCTGAAAGTTACTAGATCACAAAATAATTCACTAGCCCGAAGACCGCCTCCGTGGTGTAGTGGTTAGAGCGTCCGCCCGGAGAGCGGAAGGTCGCGGGTTTGATCCCCGACCGCGTCATACCAAAAGACGTTAAAATATGGTACTTGTTGGTCCCTGTCTGGCGCTCGGCATTAATGGGTACAATAAGAACTGGTCGGCTTGGAGTCGGTATAATGTGTCTGAGGGGGTATTCATGCTTAACTGCGGCATGGTATCTCAGTGGGCTAGCACTATAAAACCAGCTTCTGGGCTAGTACAAGCAGCCGCACGTACACATACACAGGCATGCACGTCGTCATATGAGCAAATATTCATACGACGTTAAACCCAGTTTCACCTCACCTCCACCTAGTTTGTCTGATATTTAGGTTTGGAAGTCCTAATTTGTGATGTTTAGGTATACTAAGGGCTTCGTGAAGTCCGTTTTGTTCTTCTTTATTTATAAATTTATTTATTTATTTGAAAGGTTGGTAGGAGTGTTATGTACTATACTACTTTGGAAGAGGGTTTTGTGCTTGTGTGTTATGTTTGTCAGTGTTCTTCTTTTTGAGGGTTTAAGCTTAAATCTTACTACTATTTGGGAAATAATCTATTCAGGCCCACAACTACATGTAGTACACCCTATAGTAGCGCACTTACCTTTGTTGTGTCGAATGGGTGTCCAACCACCAACCCCACCATCCCTGAAACACGAATGTTTACATTTACTCCATCCTCGATAATCTCCAGGGTATACGTTACGATCACTCTCCACTATACCCCGGATGCATCCACGGCTTGGGGGCGATGATTTTATTACCTCCCTTGGCTGGCTTTTTATCCAGTCAGGTGCCTACGCTGGGAAGTTGAGCGTACCAATCACTACTCACTTTCGCGTCTTAAATTATCTAACCGTTTAAACTTGGCAACACAATTGATGCAGAGGTACTCTGAAAGAAGTAGAAGGAGTTCTTTCATATATTCTTTTTAAAGTTTCAGATCTGTGAATTTGTCTTTATTATTTCCCAAAAATCTGAGTGGCACTGCGATCAAACCTTTGCGACTGCGACCGCTATCTGTGTTGACACTGGCAAGCTCGGTTGTAACGGCGGCTTAGCTGATTGGCTACTGTGAGAATGCGGAGCCAGCCAAGGGAGGTAATAAAATCATCGCCCCAAGCCGTGGATGCATCCAGGGTATAGTGGAGAGTGATCGTAACGTATACCCTGGAGATTATCGAGGATGCATTTACTCTAGCCGATTTGTTTCCTCAGTAAGTGAGTGAGTAAAGATGAAAATAACAGTTATTCCACAGTAGTAAAGAAAAAACAACACCATTGTCCCTTCTCGTGGAGAGAACCGACACATAGGTTCGATCCATGTGATTGCTAATGTGTCATTGTGATGTTCCTGTTAACAACCATTGATTTCCTAGGAGCAGCTCGACCAGGCCTCGTTGTCATTGTCAAGTCGTCATTTGCTGCGTAAAACAACATTCACTCATTTCACTCAGTGGGGCAAGCAACGCAGTTGGACCTAATGCAATGAAACATGCATGTTTCCAAGGCAACAGTGTAAACTGGTTTTAAGGCAACTGGTGAGAAACATTCACACCTATGTCAAACGAGGTAGGAAGTAGTAGGTAGCATCTGACAGGTCTGCCCATGTATATTATGTGATATATCTCAATCCAAAATCATACATTTAGGGATCTTTTCTATCCCAAAGCGAGCTGAATTCGACGTTCTGGTGTTTTCGATGATTGCGTTGCTGGCGCTATATCGGGGGAGTACGTGCGCGATCGGTGAGCACAAGCAATTTCATCGGCAGGGCGGATGTCCAGTCACTGTCGTGAGAAGTTGTATTGACAATTGAAAACCGGAAGTTAAGTTGTTTAAAAAGCAAACAAACATCAATATTATTTACCCGAGATCGTTAATACCACTTCAGATGCAAAATCAATTGCCTTTATAACCAAAAATAGCAAGCGAAAATTCAGTAAGATCATTCGTCTGCTGGTGACAGGCAATATTTAAATAGAAAGCCACGTTATCACAACACCCCCTTGCAGTGCGAGCGAAAAGTATGGCTGGCTCATCGTCGAAAACCCATACAAAATCCACGGATGTGGCGAACGGCAACAGTTTCGCCGATACGATGTCATCAACCTTATTTTTGTAGGAAACACTTGATATTTTTGTGTGAAATAGATGAATATATCCTTTATCACCCAAGGTTAAAAGATTTACAACGTTACATGATATTACAGATAAAAATTACGTTTTTGTCTTACATCGTCGAAAACCCCTGATACCGGGATAGTATGCACCGCCATGACTTCAGGTAAAACAGACAGTCTACCAAACGACTAATTATAATAATACTTCAGTATTATCAGTGCGTGTTTTCATTAAAAGGCATTGCATATGTACTAACGGACCAACCATCAAAATCGTGCCGCACTCAATGTCATGACATCCTACCACAGATAAGGGACACAACTCTGCACATCGTTGTGTCCAGACGTATCACGAACAAACTCGGCATGGGGTCGGACCTTACCTCCCAGAGCACCGGCTATGTAGTCATTGATAGGACTACTGCTTGTGTGTCTAACGACGTCATGAGCGATAGCAACTTCTTCGTCCATCTGCTCGAATTAGAACCTTCCAAAGGTATTCTCTACAAGACAAACGCATCAATATAATTGTCGAAATCACTCGAATAGCGATAAAATAGGTTGCTTCATTTTTAATGGGTTTCCTAAGCGAGTGACGGCGGGTAGCCTAGTGGTTAAAACGTTCGCTTGTCACGCCGAAGACCCGGGTTCGATTCCTCACATGAGCACAATGGGTGAAGCCCATTTCTGGTGTCTCCCGCCGTGATATTGCTGGAATGTTGCTAAAAACTAAACTAAACTCACTCACTCAAATGCGAACACGAAAAGGTCGTTTCTGGAATTAAATGTAACTCCACAAAATAAACTCAACGGAAAACAAAGTGGTGAGTGAGTATGATTCTACGCCGTCTTTAGAGATATTCCAGCAATATCAGGACACCAGATAGCCACTTCACCAATAATAATAATAAAAATAAAAATAATAATAATGTCACTTATAAAGCGCAAATGTCCACACACTTATGAATGCTCAATGCGCTGAAAAGAATTGAGTAAAAGAGTCAGTCATAGGCACTTTGAAACAGGTGAGTTTTAACTTTTGACTTGAAGGTTGAGAGAGATTCACATAATTTGATTTCTAAAGGTAAAGAGTTCCAAAGAGTTGGTGCAACATAGGAGAAAGCCCTTTTCCCATACGAAACTAGGTGGAATTTGGGAACTTGTAGTAGGTGCTGATTCTGGGACCGGAGTGATCTTGATGGAATGTATTCTGTGATGAGTTCGGTGAGATATTCTGGAGCTTGATTGTGGAGACAGCTGAAAGTGATGCAGAGAAGTTTGAAGTTGATTCTCTGTTGAATAGGCAACCAATGTAAGGATTTGAGAACCTACAGTATTCATGTAGATAAGGAACACGGACTTTCGGGTGACAAGCGACCGCTTTTACGACCGACTCCAAAGGTGTTTAATGCGGTATGCATTACACCAACAACACAAGATTCCAAGCTTTCCGGAGTTTGATGTCATGTACAAAGCGCCGCTGGTATAAAGCTGGGCCTAGATTTTCGAAGCTCTCTTAGCGCTAAGATAGTCGTAAGTGCCATTCATTAACATTAACTTACGACTATCTTAGCGCTAAGAGAGCTTCGAAAATCTAGGCCCAGGTTTGTTGTTCAAAGCCGCACCCAGCAATATTCCAGCTATATGGCAGTATAAAGAGTTTTCCGAAGAAAGTCACAATATCACAGCATGCCAGCATAGTCTGGGGCAACGTGAAAGGTGAAATATTCAAACATGAAAAACTGCTAAAAATCCAATCCGTAATGGTTATAAATTTTCAAATTAAAAAACACCCAGTTACTCACCAGACACTACATACAGATTCCTAGAATTCACGTTCTTGTGTATGAACCGAGATTGTGAGTTTTGGGTCAATGGGACAATGACTGGCCAAGTCGTGATGGCCTCAACGCTTCGATAAGCCTGTAAGTCCCCTTTTGACTCCCATGGGAACAATACAGATTCTAAAAAAATATTACTTCGTATTTTAACGCACTTTTATTTCACATTAGTCTTTTTAAAGGCGAAGTCAGAGATTCTAATTAAACGAAGCATGTAACTACCGCTTTTAAAGTTTCCCCATCACTCTCTTGATCTATGTACTTTAAAATGAAATATACGAGGGGATCCAGTTGGTGTAGACACGTACCGTATTTCCTCTACTCCCTCACCTCGGTCGTACTCGAGAAGAGAGGACGCGAGGCACACAAGAAGGCTCAGGCAACGAGATATCGCTGTGAAGAGTCCCGTCATTTACTGAGGTACGATACACACGTGGCGCTGTGGCGGAGTTTGGCGATATACTCGTGGACTGGAACAATAAGGTTCAGTTAGATCTCCTTACACATAAATTGAACATCTATAAAAATATGTTCTAAACAATGCATCGCATTGCTCTTATATCGATGCTTTAATGTATTGAGATCAATTTACACAACGGGTGCCACCGTCTGAAATCATATATCTTTATGCAAGACCAGAAACTCTGTGCAGCGTCTCAAGTCTTTTATACCTTTTTTCTGAAGTGAAATTATGCATAGAAACGTTATACCTATCTTTTCTGGGTGAGTGTGTGAGGTTTTACGCCGCTTTTAGCAACATTCCAGCAATAGATCACACCAGAAATGGGCTTCATACATTGTACCTATGTAGGGTATCGCACCCGTATCTTCAGCATGACGAGCGGACGCTTAATTTAACCATAGGCTACCCCATCGCTCCTCTTCTGGGGTGAACAATTACAAATTAAGGATGTTTCCAGATTTTTTAGGCCTACATTGAAATAATATTGATCGACCGCTGTCGACTTCAACATGGAATCAATCTGAGCACATGTGGCCAAAATCACACCCATCTGATCTAGTCGAAATTGTTTCATGGTAATTATGAATAAAAAAGTATCATGTTCAGGGTTAGTACTGGTCGTCAGCTAGTCCAGCATAGAGACGACTTTGCACTATACCAAGGTGTGGCTGGAATACGAGTTTATTCATATGAACTAGTCGTCAGCTTGCGATGATTGGTTGACACATGTCATCGTATCCTAATTGCGTAGTGGTATGCTCATGATGTTGATCACTAGATTATCTGGTTCAGATTGTTTACAGACCGCCGCCATAGAGCTGGAATATTGCTGAGTAAGGCTTTAAACAGCAAACCTACAAACCAACCTGCATTAAACAAACAAACAAAAGTTCTGAGATTGATAGGGTAATCACCTCAGAAGATTTTGTGCATAATCTCCGATATACTGCTGTGTTATTTCTGTTGCCGATGGGCCCAGTGGTTGGAGCTTAAACACGAACTTTATTCCGTACCTTTTTATGAAGCTACTGTAAACTTGTAGACTTCACCGTCACCCGAAGGTCTGTGTTTCGACCAATATGCGTGCACTTTTTACGTCTTGCCAAGAGAACGTAACTCCAGGCTTAACATAGAGTTACTTCCCTTGGGTCTAAACTGCTGAGAAACTAACGGGAGGCCCGGGAACCTGAAAAAGGGCCTAGATTTTCGAAGCTCTCTTAGGGCTAAGATAGCCGTAAGTTAATGTTAATGTATGGCACTTACGACTATCTTATATTTAGCGCTAAGAGAGCTTCGAAAATCTAGCCCCAGGATGCTAAGAAACGAGCGTATGTGATCATGGTGGTTAGAAACTGGAATGAAGCCAGATAAACTGCTGGAATCTACTGCTTACTTGGTGTGATCCGGTTAGAGAAGGTTTAAGGATGACATCACCACCCGGCGTTGTTTCACAAACTGCGTAGTGTAAGTCTGTTAAAGAAGGAATTGCGACACTTTTAATATCATTGACGAAACGCGTGTCATCTGCACGTGTTATCCACAAATAGAAGAGCTCAAGATTGGTTGTACTGTGCACGGATTGCACGTGCTAAATATGACGTGCTATAACGCTGAACCAAATCACTGATGCATTTCTGCTATCAGCCCTACTGTCTCCAACCGCAACAAGCAACGCTGCGGACGGGCGAATTTTTTTCTTTAATCGTTAATTGTGTCACATATATTATGTAATTTTAAATTTTAGATAATAGACGTGAATTTATGACGTATTTCCAGTCGCTTTGCATCAGAAACACTTTTAAATAAATATATAGACGAGAGGTCAAGCAGACCTGTTTATTTATGAGAGCGCAAGGATAAATATATTATGGGTTTTTTTTTATCACATCAAGGCACAAATTTAAACAGCTGCGGGGAAACTGAGATGAGAAATGGTTATATTATTTCACGTCCTAAAGAAAATTCAGGACTTCCGTGAGATGGGAGATTGAGAAAAGACGTACAGCCTCGGGACATACGCTACTCCACAGATGATAAAGATATTCTGAGTAAGGGACTTTAATTGTGAAAATTGTGATTGGAGATGGTGCCAACCAAATAGCCTTCCATGTGCCATCCTGCCATCTCTGGTTAAAATAGACATAAAATAGACAACCCGTAAAGATCTGGGTCAATTTAGTTTTACGCCGCACTCAGCAATGTTCCAGCTGAATCTGCGCAATTGGGAACCGATGACATGTCAACCCAGTCAGCGACCCTGACCACCCGATCCCGTTAGTCGCCTCTTACAAGCATGGGTTACTGAAGGCACGTTCTAACCCGGACCTTTACGTGTTAATATTGGTCTAAGCAACCCATACTTGTAAGACCGACTAACGGTGGTCGGGTGGTCAGATTCGACGACATGGCTGATGTGTGTCATCGCATCCCATGTGCGTAGAGCTATGCTCATGATGTCAATCACTGGAATTTCTTATCCAGACTCGATTATTTGCTGAGTTCGGCGTTAAACAACAAACATCATATGAACATGTGCGGTATGTGATTACCCGGAAACGATGAGCGAACGCTTTGTTTTAACCACAAGGCAACAACACCTCCCCGATGACCTGTGGAACTAGAACTGCTTATAGATCGTCCAATTTCACTCATACTTCACCACTTATAAGAGAACTCCATTGGCTTCCAGGTGCTAAGTGCTACAGCCATATTCACTCAGAGAACTCCAAACAGTCTGCTATCCTCAAAGAACCCTCCTCTCACAGGGTCAACATCTCTTGTCTGTTCACAGATTTAAATATTCTACTTTTGGTCAAGGGTGTTTTTCTTTCACAACTGCGTCTAATTGGAACTGTCTTCCAGGGCCCCGTTTCACAAAGCTATCGTAGCGGTACGAGTGTCGTGCCTCCTATACTGTTACATAGACTTACGACAGTCGTAGCGCTACGATAGCTTTGTGAAACGGGACCCAGCTATCATCAAATCCGCTACCACTGTCTCTTCTTTCATATTACAGGTAAAACGGGACCCAGATATCATCAAAACCGCTACCACTCTCTCTTCTTTCAAATTATAGGTAAAGACTTACCTGTTTGGTCAATACTTCAAGTTCCAGTGTTCAACTCTCACCTAGCGCACAGAGCACATCATGATTGTGAATTACTTCGCTCTATGAACGCATGTGTTACTATATCAACAGTTTTGTTACGCGCCCTGACACAGGTATTGGACAATCAGATCAGGTCCAACCTGGGATTTGACTTCCCGACCATGGGAACTTTGCTTATCGTATTATCGGCTAATCCTGTCGACAAAGTTATGTTATTATTACACAAGCACTTTGTACCCAGATATTGGTGCATTCCGTCTGCATTAGTAAACTTATATACATAAACACTAACATTTGACAAATCTACCGTGTAAGATAACTATGATTAATCAATCAAAGTATCATCAGATATCGATGGGTTTTTTTAAAAACAAACAACTTTTACTCTCTTGCCACCTTCCAGGAGCATTTTACGTAGCATACAAGACATTCGCCATCTCATACTTGCCGTTAACATGTTGTGTAATTACCTACGACACGGGAAATGCCACAAGCGATCCTTTGCCAGGTAATCTGAGTGGTGTTACTTCTTATTATGCCACCCGTGAAGATCCGGGTTAGAATTGGTCAATCTTTGCTTATCGTAAGAGGCGACTAACGGGATCGGGAGGTAAGGTTCGTTGACTTGGTTGACACATGTCGTCATCGATCGTATGCGTAGATCGATGCTCATGATGTTGATCACTGGATTGTCTGGTCCAGACTCGATTATTTACAGACCGCTGTCATATGGCTGGAATATTGCTGAGTGCGGCGTAATACAAACCGACCAACCAATTAATTATGCCTGTAATAAACTCAACAACTAAACATTAAGTGAACGACAAAAATATACAGGTGTAGGTTTACAGCGCTAAACATGGATGACAACAGAGGAGTGTAGTAATTGTATTGTATGTATACTTCCCATCAAAAGTTTAGACTCACTTAAAACACTCACTGTATATTATGTATATATATAAGGTTACATCGAAGATTGATTTCTCCACTATTTTGGGGAAACCATCTGCAAACCTTATGCAGATGAATTGCATGAGAACCATGCTGAAAAACATGTGCAAATATCGTTCATGTGAACAGCTGCGCTTTGGTGTAAAGTTTTGTTAAGAATTCGCCAATTTTCACTGATTTTTACCATTTATTGAACTCATGACAATAATCTTTTCAACGTTACGAATTTGTTTTACAATACGTCAGTTCATGTGTAAACAGTACATTTAAACAGTTTGGAATATATTGCCAAATTTAGTTTAGAACAGTTGCCTGAAGTAAGTGGCTATATTTATAGTGAGTCTAAACTTTTGATGCTAAGTATATTTAACACACACGCGCGCGCGTGCACGCAATCACACGCAAAACACACACACACACACACACACAAAAACATTCCCATATTTACTGTATACTTCAAGTTGAAAATTTATCACATATATACATTCGGTTTGCATTCACTGTAAACATGCAGAATCGGGTTCACGGCCTCAATTAAAATAAATGTGTATTTTTAATCTTTTAATATTATAGGTAATTTTCCATGACTTTATTTCAATCATCACAAAATGTCAAGGAACAAAACACAATAAGTGGATCCACATAAATCTCCGTCAGCGTATGCCATACGCTTCAGAAATATAAAATAATGCTTGCACTGATCATTTATTTAAAATCGGACTATAACCAACCGGGATATTTCAAAATAACAGCATCCATTTGGTTTCCACCGTTGTCTGCTTGTTTAAGTTGAAGAGATTACTTAACACGGCCCCTTGACATATAAAAAGCTTGAACCATCATGGGTAACCAGTCGGTGCTTAGAGATGTGTGTAAAGATTGTTTCGGATGTTCCCTATCCTTATAGACGGTAGCCCAGTGTCGTTATGACCAGTTTGCCAGCAAAAGATTAACAGTGTTAATGAGTCCAGAGTGGGATTGTTAGACAGCAGGGTTGAGGCCATAAATCAGTTCCCCATTAAGTTTTAGCGCCAGGCGGAGTAACAACAAGTACCATTTTTTAACGAACCATTGACTTCAGTGTCGACGCTCCACTCGACCACTGGATGTAAGGAAATCCTGCAGCGATGAAGGAAACAAACGTTAAATCCACCATCGATCCACTGACAGACCAAGGGTCGAACATCACAGTGGTTCATGTGATATTGACACCCTTTACAATTTATGTACCAAGTATACAAGGCATGAGCGGATCCAGGTATGTGTTCGTGCGTGCAGGGGGGCGCAATATTGTACACTGGGGGTCTGGTGGGGGATCGGGGAGCAACTTGAAATGATGTGACTGTTTGTTTATTACTGTTAATAACGCATCAGCAATGTTAAGGCGAGCGCGGTTATCTCCCTTGAACCGTCGGCGCTACCCATTCATCGCGATGGAGCGCTCAATCAACTTAATATTTCATTGGTACCTTCTAGGAACTGTATTTCTAAAAGCTAGATGCGACAAACAGGCAAACAAATAGTTTTCTAGCATAACGTTTCCCACGTCTGTAAGCTGCTTATACTTCATAACATTTTGTTCACTGAACGTATTTCACAAACCACAATACCATGTATTTTTCTTACCATCTATTTTTTATGTCAGTATTAGAGCATATTATATAGTTTCCTTGTGTCCCACCGCGCAATGTTTCATCGAATCTGGACTAAACAATCCAGTGACTCAAATAATCATCAATTTGTACTCTACTGAGATAAGATGATGTGCATCAACCCAGTCAGTGAACCTCATCGCCCGATACCGTTAGTTTCCTCTTACAACACTGGGGGGCGGTGGGGTAGCCGAGTGGGTAAAGCGTTCGCTCGTCACGCCGAAGTCTCGGGTTCGATTCCCCACATGGGAACAATGTGTGAAGCCCTTTTCTGGTGTCCCCCGCCGTGATATTTGCTGAATATTGTAAAAAGCGGCGTAAAACCAAACTCACTCACGTACATCACTGGGTTGTTGAAAGCCACTTCTAATCAGGATCCTCACGGGTACATATGCCGCTGTACTCCAATGATAACTACATACGTTTTATGTAAACCGCACTTGACTTCAACTGTCCTGCCAATACACTTGGTCTCCTTCCCGTGTGGAATTCTAAAACAACTTTTCACACCCTTTTCCCATGCCTACTAAACTGCTTACCTTTGCATTGACAACTTCATTTAAGATGTTTTTATTCTGACAAATGAGCGTGAACATGTCATATCATCAAGTGATATGTTTGTATCATTTATAAACCATAACCATGCAGGTTTCAGAAGTATTTTATCTGAAACCATAGAACAGGGGTTTGGTACTGACAGACCTAGAACCATTATCATGGTGAATCTGGGATTCCACCCGACGATTATATGTTCAATTCAGGCTTAATTATAGGCGCAACTCTGTGTAGTGAAAAGATGAACTTACGGCGTAGTGTGGGTCACATTGTTCCAAGATGTTCTTTCTTAAAGCTCCAAACATAGCTCTATTCATTTAATTTTGTTTGTTGTTTAACGCCGCACTCAGCAATATTCCAGCTATATGGCGGCAGTCTGTAAATAATCGAGTCTGAACCAGGGACTAACAGCATGAGCATCGATCTAAGCAATTGGGATACGATACATGTGTCAACCAAGCCAGCGATCCTGACTGAGGCTGACCATCCGATACATCTTACGACAAGACAAGCATGGGTTGCTGCGGACCAGTTCTAACCCGGATCTTCACGAGTCTATACGTTTAACGTCATATACACAGGCCCAAGTCCACTCCATCCTGACGGGTGACCTTGATCCCCGTCCAAGTGAGTGAGTGAGTTGAGTTTTACGCCGCTTTTAGCATTATTCCAGCAATATCACCGTGGGGGACACCAGAAATGGGCTTTACTCGTTGTACCCATGTGGGGAATCGAACCCGTGTCTTCGGCGTCGGGAGCGAAGGCTTTAGCCACTAGGCTACCCCACCGCCCCTTCCCGTCGAAGGTAATCCATTTATAATATATTATCCACTAAGAAATTAAATATATTTCACTACTTACTCTGCCGCATGGGCGTGGTGAAAATAGCTAAAGGAAAGATAGAATACACAATTATATGTCAGCGCATGCATTGTGAGACATATGTATCTATGTGTGTGGTCTACTGAGGTTTTGAATAACAAATGCAAATTGAAATAATACCTTTATATCAAGAAATATATTAAATTATACATAATATCATTCTTTCAACGACAACCACTAGAAACGTTTGAACACACTCTCAAATTCAAATCAGTTACTGGAAACTCTATCATTGTCTTAACTCATTGTCAAATTCTTCGATTTGTTGAACCAGTGCCAGGTGTTTGACAAGGGCGGTAACTCCCCGCCTAGACAGGGACCGGAGATAACTGAGGCTACCCAGAACCCTCAACAGCTCTTGTTTCCCCTTGCTGGCTAAGTCTGCGTCCATAGATTTGGAGATAGAGTCAAGTCTGTGACAAATATGAGTCAGTTTTCGTGTTCCTCTACTGAGCATTCGGCCATCCAAAAGCACTGCCGTGTACTCGATCACGTGGTTGAGCTCCAGCTTGAGCTGCATGACCTGCACGAGGAAGTCGCGTACGTGCTTGGCAGTCACCGGCGTGCCATCGTTTTGGATACGCGATGCTCCGATATCAACCCCCTTCAGCATGAGATTTCGTAGCTGGATGTTCAGTGAGTCGGTTGTGGATTTGAGAGCTCGTACGTTTCTAGTCTGTCGCTGGTTCCTGTGAACAACAGCCATCTTGTACAAACTGGTCTGTTGATCTCGACTGGAAGTATCGACATGTTTGATCGTCTTTCTGAATGTTCCAACACTTCGACATTTCACAGAGTAATGGTTACCTTCCCATGGCGAGCAGCAGATCCAGCAAAATGTGTATCCGCAAAGACACACCATGCACTTGCATCCTCCATTCTTCACAATGTGTCGGAAACATTTGGGGCATTGTTTTCCCCGCACGCCAACTGTGACCACATCTTTTATCTTGTCGTCACCGTGCTTCTTTAATTTCTGTGCATAATGTGTCGTCTGCTCACAAGAAGCAGGCCAATGAGCGTCTCTGAGGCAGGAGAAGCAGACGACCTGACCACACTCACAACTGACTGTCACCGAATCCTTCCCGTCGTTTCGCCTCTTCAATACCCGGCCACATCTTGGATTTGGGCACCATTTTAAATTTGGGTTAGTTTCCACATCCAAACTCGCCCTTTGTTTCTGCAGCAGCTGGACGTGCTTGATGCTGACGAGAGACAGAAGCATTGCTGTATCAGCAACAGAGTCACATTTGTATTCAGGACACTTTATCTTCAGAGCCCCGGAGTGAATTCTTTCCATGATGTGTTCCTTCCAACATTCGTCACAGAACCAGTGTCGACATGGCAGGACACAGCTTGCCGTCTTGCTGTCAAACAGCTCAGGGTTGATTTCATCAAAGCAGATGTTGCAATATTGTTCCTTCCTTTCGTTGTCGTTGGTGGGGGCAGGTGTCAGTGCTTCATTTTCAGAAATGTGCACAAACTCTTCTTTGTCATCAACACTTAGGTCATCAAGATGGAGGCTGTGTGTGTTCCACTTGTTGACAGAGGTCACCAGCTGCAACATCATGACCTTTTGATCAGCTGACGCCATTTCACCCATCTCCTTCTTCTGGAAGCTTTCAGCTGGCAGAGTGGAAGCAAACATGGCAGTAGCTTGTATCACCTCGGGTATCGTTGTAGGCATCAGGTCAAACAAAGCCTCAAGACGTATTGTGCCTACACTGCAGTTGATGTTAAACTGCACTCGATAAACATCTAGTCCCGTGTCGTAACTTGCATCGCGTGCAAAAACTAGACAAGACGAGAAATCAATTCCTCCAAGAAACCCCATTTGAGCTTGTTTGGATTTCCTAACAGCCTCTGACACATCCTCTGTCGTGTCTATGATGAATTTCCGTGGTTCACACTGGGCCTCCGTGTATCTATGTTGGAATGTCTCCTGCAGTTGGTGTGGGTGAATTGTGTCACACTGAAGGATAACTCGGACAGATTCCATCTTCGGTGTTGGAGGGAGCCTAGTGAACGTAGACCCGGAGCTGTTGCTTTCATCGTCACTGCTGGAGTATGCTTCATCATTTTCGTCTTCCCTACTTGGAACGAGAACCCAGTCCTCCTCCGCCCTGTTTGGCTTCTTCTTCGCCTTCACTCTTCGTCGTTTTGGCTGCTCGGTACATAGGCCTCTTGCTCGTTCTGCTGCTTCTAACACATCAATCAGCATCACCTCTGGTGTTTGAACATCCCCAGAAACATCACATTCAGAGTCGAATTCATTTTCGCTCTGTTGGTCATCAAATGAATCATACTCCTCGATGTCCAGGATTGGTTCATCACAGTTCACTGAAGGGTGCCTTCTGTCCCTCCTTTTGCGACCTTTCCCAGATGACTTAAACTCGCCATTATCGAGTAACCGCATGTATTTAGGGTTATGAGAAATAGAGCTGGTTGCGGGTGAGGGATAGAACACGTCATATCGTATATCGGGGTCAGGGTCAGTCAGGCCTTCATCCCTTCCCCCGTTTAGACTGACCTGTGTTTGTTTGTCCCTTCCTTCGTGTTCTCCTTCCTTCCTTTGCTTTATTTCTTGGGAGCACGCTGGAGTCGTTGAAGTAACTCGATTTCGATACGACTGATTTGACTTGTCCTTCACTGCATGAAAACTCCACGCAGTTTGACTGACGTGTGAGCTTGTGTCTTTGGTACAATGACACCCTTACGTCGTGTTCGTCATGGTCGATATTCTCTTTGATCAGTTTTGGCAAAGCCCACCTTCCCTTTTTGTTGAGAGAGTAGAATACTCCATCTGCATCAAGATGTGAGTCGTCTGCTTCGTCGTTTGACTGTCGTCTGCTAAGGTTAGTGCTCTCTCTCACTATACAACTTTCACCATGGTATTTGCGAGTGAAGCGGGTATTCGAAGCTCGGAGTGTGTTTCCAGAGCGAACCCCGCGTTTTTCTGACTTTTTCACCATCTTGACGCGCTTGACACGCTTAGAGTCGGAAACGAAATGTTAATTAAATATGGTAAATGTATCGCCTTATATACCAGTTGAAAGTTTCTATCGGTTGTGCAAGCCAGACTATAAATAACATACCAGAGCCTCACTCTGGCGTATACTATAAATAGTCACTGACGTTGTTCAAAGCAATAGAACATCCAGCATTGATTGATCGATACTCCATGCAGCGTTATGCGGCATCGCTTAGTCCTTGATATATGTACAATATCAATAAAGTGCAAACTAGAGTCTTGGGTTGTTTCAGGTGAGTTGTGACATACAGCCGCCACTGAGCCAGTCACGTGACATTAGATGAGTTTATGGTTGATGGAGAAAAGCATTGCAATCAAACATTAATTTAACACTACCACGATACAGTAGTTGCGTATATACAGGTGACAATGCGCATGTATATCTAGAAAATCTTTAAAATATTGTCACATCTCGGACAATCCCATTATGTGCCCTCATATTTTACGTAGCCTAACACGTTGAACTATATTCTTTGAAATAATTCTAAATTATTTTTTCAAAAGTACCATTCTCATTTTTCGAGTGGAAGCAAGGAATCTAAACTTGTCTACGATTTTAGTAAAAATATTTAGAAAATTTAAATTCCAGAGTGATGGTATCGGACCACGTACTAAAATCAGGTAGACTAGTTACTCATGATATTATTGTACTTTCATCATCAAAAAACATCCTGTTGCGGCTGTGATTAATCTACCCTGTTAATCCCCCACAAATAGACCAGTCCAGCAATAATCCATCGTAATCCCATAAAACCAGTGAGGCATGAAGTCCCACATAGCCTAATGAACTGTACCTACCTAACTGAATAATTTTAGGCCCCGTGGGCTGACACCAAATAGACACATTTCACCCGTTTCCCCTCGGAAAACACCGTCTCGTGGATTAACAGGATCAACGGAATACTAGTTCTTTAACATGTCTTTAGCTCTGTCAACATGTCTGTCATGATAATACTTGATTAAATACTGGTAAATTATAATTATTTTACAAATAAAACAGTTTGAGGTGTTCATCGCACCCACTGGTGTAGCGAATCAGGGATTCATATTTAGGGCACTGTGAGCGAGTACCGGCACGATTGGCGTTATGTCGGGGTAAGGTATACTGTCGCAACACGACAGCAGTAGAGGTACATATATAGGGCTTTACGTTCAGAAACATTAGACATGTAAAGTCAGTGGTATCCGTGACACTGTATGTGAGCTAGGTGAGCCAGGGTATATAAGTCGGTGAAGGTCTTAGTGCGTTATATTGAGGTAACACAACTGTTTACAAACACAGACATGTTCCTACTGCTCGACAGTACAATAAGGTGGCTGAGCGGTCTAGGCGTCTGACTTTGTGTGCTGGCGATTAGGTGCCTGACTCTGAAGGTGCGGGTTCGAATCCCGGATGGGATTCAACCGAAAAAAGTACTAGAATCTGTACTTTACTAAGAAAGTGCAATCCCAAATATAACATATGTTACATATGTTACATTTGACCACTTTCTAAAATGGCATTGTGTATTTTATAGGAACATTTTTGCCATTATCGTTTACATACATAATTCTGTCGACTCTTGAACCGAAAACATTCGTTTAGTATATTTACTGAATATAACACCCCACAACCCTTAATCGTGAGTGAGTGAGTTGGTTTTACGCAGCTTATAGCAATAGTCCAGCAAAATTACGGTGGGGGACACCAGAAATGGGCTTCACACATTGTACCAATTATACACACATATGTATATAAATGTACACAGGTAAGAAAAGGACCTTCAGTGATCGACTGCCGGAACAACGTTCTACAGTTATGTTCGGATATAGGTTTCTTCAACCGATTCACACCAGATCAGTGGGTGTAGACCCATGTGCTAGTCAAAAGATATTTTATGTTGGTTTAACGCCGCACTCACCATTAATCGACATATCTTTAAATAACCCAGTCTGGACCAGACAATCTCGTGAATGACACCACATGGACATCGGTTATAAAACAGACATCGGTAATAAAACGACATGCATCCAGCGAACCTGACCACCCGACCCTGTTCATCACCCCTAACGACAAGGATGGATTTCTAAAATACCAGTCCGTAGATCCATTGATAGCAGCAGTTAGTGTATTCACCCAGATGACAAAATATGATTTAGAATGATATATGCTGTGAGACTGAATACTGTGATATTTCCACCAGATGACAAAATATGATTTAGAATGAAATATGCTGCAGCTGGGAGACTGAATAGTGTGATATTTCCACCAGATGACAAAATATGATTTAGAATGATAGCGGCTGTGAGACTGAATAGCGTAATATTTCCACCAGATGACAAAATATGATTTAGAATGATATATGCTACAGCTGGGAGACTGAATAGTGTGATATTTCCACCAGATGACAAAATATGATTTAGAATGATAGCGGCTGTGAGACTGAATAGTGTAATATTTCCACCAGATGACAAAATATGATTTAGAATGATATATGCTGCAGCTGGGAGACTGAATAGTGTGATATTTCCACCAGATGACAAAATGTGAGTTAGAATGATAGCGGCTGTGAATACACTCTCTCAAAAAGAAACGCAACCCCTATCTAAATATCTGACATCATTTCTAGAATAAAGATGGTGAATGTAAATTAGAATTTTCTTCAAAATACTGTTAATACGTTCCCATCTGATCAGTATAAGCTCCCAAACGGAACCATTTTCACACATGATGACCTTTGTATCCGTGTTATTTGAGAAAGTGCGAAATTGTCATGTACAAAATGCTAAAAGCCTGTTGCACGTGCAAATCGTTGAAAACACAGTTCATGTAGAGGGTTTTAAAAGCACGCGTAGTTTGTAATTTTTCTCTCATAATTTGCTCTGCAAATCAAGTTCGAAAATGCCCCGTTTGAGTACAGCAAATCGAAATATTGCCATTGGTCGCATTGAGGCCGGGGAAAGCTTTGGAACAGTTGCCCGTCATCTAAACGTACACAAAACAACAATCTCACGACTTTGGAATCGTTACACACAGTTCCATGCAATTGAAGATCGTCCCAGGAGCGGTAGACCTAGGATCACCACACCGGCTCAGGATCGCTTTATTCGACTCAGCCACCTACGTAATCGGCATGCCACACCCACCATCACTGCAACACAGGTGCCAGGTTTGAGGAGAGTATCGGCCCAAACCATCAGGAACCGTTTACATGAGGCAAATTTACGTGCAAGAAGACCAGTTGTTGGGCCCGTCTTGAAACGCCAACATCGACGCCAACGTCTCAGGTGGTGTACTAACGTAAGGAGATGGACCCTAAGAAACTGGAGAAGAGTCTGGTTTAGTGACGAGTCTCGTTTTTCTTCTTCAACGACGTGACGGTAGACAACGTGTCTATAGACGAGCAAATGAACGTTTTGCACCGAACTGCGTTCGACAGGTCGACAGATTTGGAGGAGGAAGCATCATGGTATGGGGAGCCATGTCTTACAACCAACGGTCAGACTTGGTCATCATTCGTGGCAATTTGACGGCACAACGGTACATTGATGACGTCTTACAGCCACATCTTCTGCCGATAATCGACCAACAGAGGGAGTTGTTTCAACATGACAATGCCCGCCCTCATACAGCTCGTGCAACAGTGGCATTCCTACAGAATTCAAACGTCAACGTGATGCCGTGGCCCTCCAGATCGCCAGACATCAATCCTATCGAACATCTGTGGGACCAGCTGGATCGTCGTGTTCGTGCACGTACACCACAACCGCACACGTTGGTTGAACTGGCCGCAGCACTCCAGGAAGAGTGGAGAGCAATCCCCAGGAAAACATCCGCCGTCTGATTCGTTCTGTTCCGAGGAGGTGCACTGCTGTGATTAGAGCTCGTGGCTCTACAACGAGATACTGAAGACAACGCCCCTAGCGTAAATTGAGAGTTCGATACTGACCTGCATTAACTGTTACCTTATACCGTGCTGACCTAAGGTTCACCATGTCAAATTTCATGGCATTATCTTTAAAAATACAAATGTAATAACCAGTTAAAATTGATATAAACATTACCAAAAACAGGGTTGCGTTTCTTTTTGAGAGTGTATCCTGACTAACTGACACTGACTCCACAACCTCCCCAGCATACAAATGTTGAATAGTAACACTGGTTGCAGCATGTCTCGGCTACTATCGATTACAGGTATATATGTAAATAAATTGGTAATGTATGTAATTTGCAACATCTGTAAGCTTGGAATTGATATCCCGTCAAACAATACCAAATTATTATTTTACATAAGACAGCAATTTCAGTAAACAATTCCAATTTGCGTATCTGTCGGCAAACATTCTGCATGCTTCTTTTTAGTGGATAGAGGATAGGTACCATCCCCAGATACACATGCGCTGATATGATACATATCGCGATACATAGGACATGATACGTACTGCGATACATAGGACGCGATACGTACTGCGATATATAGGACACGACACATAGTTCACGACACGATATATCGCGATACATAGGACACGATACATATGTCACGACATGATACATAGGATCCCTATGACTATACATGGGTTACGATACGTATGGCGATATTTAGGGCACGATACATATGTCACGACACGGTACATATCGCGATACATAGGACACGATACATGGGTTACGATACTTATCGCGATATATAGGGCACGATACATGGGTTACGATACTTATCGCGATATATAGGACACGATACATGGGTTACGATACTTATCGCGATATATACGACACGATACGTAGGTAACGATATGTATCGCAATAGGCCCTGGAGACACAATAATAACAGTTAAACAACCCGGGAAAAAAGAAAGAAAACAGAACACCCAACCACCCCCTCCACTAAAATCCCTCAACTAATCTAAACAGATACATACAATAAAAACGATAACACATAAAATAGTCCGTATGTATATTTCCTTAATACTTGTTACACATAGATGCGAGCGCTGGCTATTGCCTTTGTATATATCCACTACAACAGTTCCACAATCCAAGCACCTACCTTGAGACCGCCTCCGTGATGTAGTGGTTTCAGCGGAAGGACGCGGGTTCGATCCCCGGCCGCGTCATACCAAAAGACGTTAAAATATGGTCCCTGCCTGGCGCTCGGCATTAATGGGTATGTTAAAACGCGAGTGTTGGGGAATTAGCTCGGTGAATATGCCTAGCAATGGGTCTCCACAACATGGGTATTCTTGTACAGAAGCTGTTACAACAGGGAACGATATGTCATATCTTTCATAATGAGTACTTATAAATTTGATGCACACATGTTCAAAATGGATGACATGAAAATGTAAGCAGGAAATCATATTGTATTGAATAGCTTATGGAAAGCTATTAGCTATAGTGACGGTTATAGACCTACAAGGAATGAGAAAAATCCTTGACACCGGGAGTCTGGTTTGTATGGGAAGACTCGGATCCCGCAGATAACGTTGATCTGCACTAAATGCGTACATGTGTAGGGCGTAGGGTGTGACCAGATCGTACCGTAGAGTACGAACCTAGCCGATTTCAACAACTTAATCTGATAAAGACGTATGTCTGATAACATCACATAGATTACAATACATACTCAATATATGAAAACATGACAAATGTGAACACAACGAAACAATGACCGGAGAACATACAACAAACCTCACATAAACAAGAACGTCCTTGAGAAGTTCACGTACACAGTTCACGGTGAGAGTCAGAACCAAAGTTCACAGATATTGTCTCACACATCGGAAGAAACTTGCAGATGAATCGTGATGTATGCCTAGGTTGACTTGGACTTGAAAGTTGGTTCACTCACATGAATGTTGGGTTACCGATGATGTCCTGATTATCGGCTGACATCTTGATGATGACCGGGTTGTCTGGGCTTCTGCCTCTGGTCATCTACTGTATATATCCACTACAACAGTTCCACAATCCAAGCACCTACCTTGAGACCGCCTCCGTGGTGTAGTGGTTTCAGCGGAAGGACGCGGGTTCGATCCCCGGCCGCGTCATACCAAAAGACGTTAAAATATGGTCCCTGCCTGGCGCTCGGCATTAATGGGTACAACAACGACTGGTCGGCTCTGAGTCAGTATAATGTGTCCGAGTGGGGTATTCCTGCTTAACTGTGGCATGGTATCTCAGTGAGCTAGCTCTATAAAACCAGCTTAAGTCTGGGCTAGTACAAGCAGCCGCACATATGCACGTCGTCATATGAGCGAAATATTCTTAAGTACGACGTTAAACCCAATTTCACCTCACCTCACCTACCTAGAGGTGTGGGACATTCGGCTCACCTCAACCTCATCATTTGCCCTCGGTCAGCACAAGTAGGAATCCATATATTTCTCATTAACCAAAGCAATGTCGGGAGTACTGATCTTCTTTAAATGATGCTCAGTATTATTCAAGTTCTAAACTAATTTCCATCGGTCGGTATGGTACAAAACCCTCTCCATCCATCGCCAACTCTGCCTAAACTGTGTAATGGAGATATCCATGATGACATCCGCTTGTGTCGCGGAATGCTGAAGGTATAAAGTCATGTGTATGAATACACTTACATATGTAATCATTTATGTCACGTGCATGTACGACATGGCCAGTGCAAAACGTGACCAGAATAACCATTACCGATCGACTTCTTCCACGATGACGTCTTGCATAATAATATATGTGAGTTTAGTTTTACGCCTTTTAGCAATATTCCAGCAATATCACGGCGGGGGACGATCAGAAATGGGCTTCACACATTGTACCCATGTGGGGGACTCTAACCCGGATCTTCGACGTGACAAGCGAACGATTTACCACTGGGCTACTCCACCGTCCCTAATTATATATGTAATTTTGAATGAGAGGTAGGTGTGTTAATAACATTAGGTTTTGTATTTTTGTTCTGGGTGGCACCGTTGGTTTCGAGTGAAATCTGGGGACATTAAATTCTCGATAACACACGTACAGAAACACATATTGTACGCTTTAGTAGTCGAGCTACTGGTCTTTTAGCCTACGTCCAGGGCCTCAATGAGTCTTTGGACCTCGGCTCATGAAGATCCGGGTTAGAATTTAGCTGGAATATTGCTAAGTGCGGCGTTAAACAACAAATCAACCAATCCACTTTGGACACGCGGGATACGATGACATGTGTCAACCAAGTCAACGATTCTGTCCAGCCGATCCCGTTAGTCTCCTCTAACGACAAGCATGGGTTACTGAAGATCCCGGGTTTTCTCAGTGAATGTTCCTCAGTGATCCTAGCGCATTTCCAGCTACGCTGTCGGCGTCATAATACTCAGTGAGGCTTCATTTGGGAATATATTGTTCATAAGACCTTCCGGTTGACAGCACTGAGTGGTCGCACGTCCAGAACTCACGTAAGCATAGGTGTGTGTGTGTGTGTGTTGTGTTTGTTTGTGTTTTGCTCTTTCGTAACACTGCCAGCAAGTTCTAAAGTGCCAAAACCGCGCAACGCATCATGGGATAATTCAAGTTCGCGCAATAATCTTTCCTTTGGAAATGCTTTCCTCATCGTCGCTATGTGACTGAAACAGTGCCGATGTGACATTAAATGAACATTTAGTTGATTGAAAATATACTTGTACATTTGTCCTTGTCGAAGTGTCAGCAAACTGTAAAATTCTTGAAAACGAAGAGCCGCATTATGAACAGGGCTTTGTACATAAATCACATCTGGTGCCATTGCTAGAGCGATGGTGGCTCTGTGGAATAGGCGTTCGACAATTCCGTCTAAGGAGAAACTTTCTTGTATCACCATTGTAATTTGGAAATTTACGGGGTCATTTAGTCAGCACTCCTCCCCCACAATCAGAAAAAACAGTGATATATATATGCAGCTTTTTGATAGAAATAGAAAACTTAAAAATAACTCTACGAATCCATAAGAAAATATATTTTATTCATAGACGTTGAGGGAGCATACTGCGATAGGAAAGATGAATATTATGATGATGATGATGATGATGATAACTATTACTCCATACAAACAGGGTAGAAAAATATATCTCATTGATCATCATAAGGCTCTTTATTTGTTGTTTAACGCCGCACTCACCAATATTCCAGCTATATGACCGCAGTCTGTATATAATCGAGTCTGGACCAGACAATCCAGTGATCTACATCATGAGCATCGATCTACGCAATAAGGAGGCGATAGTCGCTTCTTACGACAAGCATTGGTTCCTGGAGACCAATTCTAACTAGGGTCTTCACGAGTCACACTCTCTTGGATAACTGCAGGGTGAACAGAGCAAACGGTTACATACATTTTACGGTTACCATCAGAAATAAATAAAATGGCCCCAACAAAGAGTCGAACAAATAAAACGTAACGAGTGGATGAGCTTGACTTAACATCCGCTTAATAGTAGCATAGACGGCATGATAAACTGACGAGGAGGATTGCTTTGTTTGTTTGTTTGTTGTTTAACGCTGCACTCGGCAAAATTCCAGCTATGGCGGCGGTCTGTATATAATCGAGTCTGGGCCAGATAACCCAGTGATTACCATTATGAGCATCGATTTACGTTATTGGGATGCGATGACATGTGTCCATCATGTCAGCGAGCCTGACCACCCGATTCCGTTAGTCGCCTCTTACAAGCATGGGTTACTGAAGACCAATTCTAATCCCGATCTTCACGGGTAAGTTTGATAGAGCAGAGCCGGGCTGATGCAGGTCGGGGACGTTTGATACTTTGGTGAAATCCTAGAGGTAGGTATGGTACTGACAAACCTATAAAAACAATCAGAATGAATCTGAGGTTCGAACGGAGGATGAAGGTTCTGGCTCTACCAAGAGACGCATCTCCGCACGCCATCTACTGGCTGTGTTTAATAATCGTACGTCTAAACATCAGATACCTAGTCAGGTTTCACATCTGAAGCTAGTATATCAAATCATTTTCGAATCAGCGTGCCTATTCTGGAAACGTTCGTAGAGCTACTAGCGTTTCGAGAATAGGGGGCCAGGGTTCCGATCCACGAAGCGTTCGTAACGTTACGACCTGTCGTAACTCTATAGTTTATCATAGGCTTACGAAAGCCGTAGGGCTACGAAGGCTTTGTGAACGGGACCCAGATATTTTGATAAGCATAGCTCATGCTGACAATATCACCCCGAACAATGACATATGTGCAACAGACTCACTGTGATGTTCAATACTCTAGTTTAATGGACACACATTGTCTGAATCAACCATCACGGAAAACAAATAATATATTCACTCATTCGCTATTCATATCATTATAGCGACCTCTGGCGTCGCATACCATAACTTGATTGCGGTGATGTCGAGGATTAAGAGAATAATAAACGAGCCACGATTAATTACGGATTATTTGACCTGAGTTACTGGAAGGTGCAAGCCCCTAGCCTTTGGTATTAGAACTTACAACATAGTATGTTACCGGCTAGTTGAAGTACCCTCGCATTGAGAATTTCCTGGGCCTAGATTTTCGAAGTTCTCTTAGCGCTTAGATAGTCGTAAGTGCCATACATTAACTTACGACTATCTTAGCGCTAAGAGAGCTTCGAAAATATAGGCCCTGGTCCAGAATAACGTTCAGTGGTATTTATCTTGTGGACCAGCAGCATATTTGTCGAACATAACGTTATGCTCAACTCTTTCCTGTGTGTATTAGGCATGAACCGATACGACACATATCACGATATATAGGTCATGATACGATACTTATCACGATGCTGAGGTAAGGAAACGATGCGTATCACGATATATAGGTCATGATACGATACTTATCACGATGTTGAGGTAAGGAAACGATGCGTATCACGATATATAGGTCATGATACGATACTTATCACGAAGTATAGGTAAGGAAACGATGCACGATATAAAGTGGTGTCTTACTTCATGTCATAGTCATCAGTATATCATATAACATAACTCTAACGAGATGGCCGATCGACCAGTTTGACTCTCACTGGATCCTTCGGCCTGGTGATCACAAACTGGACAATGTCCGGAGGCGGCTGACCACTTGGCTTCAGGTCAAATCGCTGTAACATCTGACAAAACAGAATACAGATATGAAGCAATGTGCATGAGAGGTGGAGTGAAATGATATGTTGTGGGTATTATTAACAATTAACATAAGAATTTCAGATGAAAAAATCATATAAATGTTCCTACCTGCGCCATCAAGAGCTGCATTTCCAGTTCCGCAACACGTCGACCTAATAGCAACATAAAATAATTAAATACGTTAGGAAGTGCCTAACCTTGATTACATTTAATAAATATAAAATACAAATCTTCCCGAACACCTCTATCTTGTGTTATGTTCAAGGGAAGAACAATGGCCTTCCAACATTTGCCCATATGTATGTTTAAATAAGTGATTCTCAAAGCTGATAAATCAACTGAGTCGTGACGTCATAAATTGATCCCGTGATGTCAACTACACGTTCTTGACATTTCATACATTTTCGTTAACATTTTTTAACCGTGAAAATGGGTCATTAATAGAATAACGAATTTTATCAAAACAGCTGCTTTCAACTGAAACATACTGAGTCCAGACAAAGAGAGTGATTTCTGGACGATTTGAACGATTTGTTTGACCCCGAACCCCCTTTAACCTCACCGACACACATCCTTTGTCCAAAGCCAAATGGTATATGGGAGAACGCAGCAGGTTTATCACTGGCTTCTCTCATTTCTCTCATCCAGCGCTCAGGTCGGAAGGTGTCTGCTTCATCGTACAGTGAGGGCGACCGGCCCACCGCATGCAACGACACAACCACATTTTTCTAAAGAATGGAAAAATGAGTGAGTTTAGTCATAGGCCGCTTTAAGCAATTTTCCAGCAATATCATGGTGGGGGACTCAAGAAATGGGTTTCACACATTGTATCTATATGTGGAATCGAACCCGGGTCTTCCGCGTGACGAGCGAACGCGTTAACCACTAAAATTGAAGCAACCCCATCGCCCCAAAGAATGGAAAATGATTTTTATATTTTATATTAGGTGGCTGTAATCAATGGACTAGGTGTTGATCACTGGATTGTCAGGTCCAGACTGTTTATTTATAAACCGCCGTCATACAGCAGGGATATTGCTGAGTGCGGCGCTAAATATCCAAACCAAGCCAAAGTGCTTGGCCATGAGTACGCCATATTGCGCAATGGTTTTGGCATTACTGCTGTAATATATTATATCCACGGCTGTTTATTGCCTGGCAGACATAATATGGATCTATCCTACACATAAATTTCGGATTGTGAATGGTTGAGACAAATTCTATTATTTCAAAGTATCATATATGGAACATTTTAATGTTCCCTGCTCAAATTACCGAACTGTTGGCATTACATTTGCAACATGCCGACCGCATTTTTATATCGCGAATCAATTATGTAATTATGTCATTCTACGAATATTTACGATGCGTTCCGAATGAAACAAATCTAAGTTGATAACTCTAAATGTGTCTTCTGTCAACTAGGGGAGTTCTGGATATACAACTTCTTTGTTATTAAAATGAGCGACGTTTCGGTGTGGCTACATAGGCGGATCCAGAGGGGGGGGGTGCAGGGGTAAACCACCAACCCCAACCCCAACACACACACACACACACACACACACACACCGGTGCTGAAAGTTTGTTAAATGACCATTGAAACTCGGGTGAAAATGAAATGTGCACCCCTCCTTTTCTCAATAGTGTGCAACCCACCCCCACCCCCCTTCTCAAAAAGCTGTATCCGCCCCTGGGCTACTGACACCGTTATCAAGCTCATAAGTGACAATAAAGAAGTAATAAAAACGTTGTATATCCATAGAACTTTCCTCGTTGTTCAAAACACCAACTTCTAAATGCCACTCAAAGAAGTTGTCCTCTGTCCTCTGCTATTTGCGATTGATAAGAAGATAAATGACGCGGATTTATATGCCTTACTGTGATAATGGGTGCCGGTTTGGACCAAAACATGCATGCATAAGATATACATTGCCACCTGCATAATCAGGTGAGCGCCAAGATAAATTCGTTGTCAACGGGTCTCGGGCGATATGGCATATGTAGCCTCCATGTTAGTTTACTGTCCCTCGCCATTCAAGGCACGAGGCTCAGACTAACGTAGGCGGTGCATCTATCAATCCATAGCCACCCCAAAGCATGGGTTGATAGATGTTAAAACATAGGTTAACATATACGTCAGTACATACCCCTTTCGGCACCTGATATCCCAATATGACAATATCATGCTGGTTGATTCTACCAACGTAACTCCCGACTGGGTACAACCTGGAACAAAGTGCGTGGGTGAGTATGGTTTTACGCCGCTTTTAGCAATATTCCAGCAATATCACGGGGCACCAGAAATGGGCTTCACACAGGGTCTAACCAACCCAAACGAAAGACCAAATTCCCTCTCACTGCTTCAAATAGAGACATCCTTACATCGTGGTTGATATTACCTGAGCGTTTCTTTGATAACTGCCTTCAGGTAGGGCATATTCCTGAGATGTACGGGGGTGGGGATTTCTCCGGGGGGCACCGACCTCTCCAGTTCCTCTCTCAGCTTTTTCTGAACATCCGGGTTCTTGGCGACCTCATACAGCATGAACTGAACGGTGTTTGAGGTCTGCAAATGATAAACCAGATGACTGACAGAGATACGATTAGCGTCATAAATCAACTTAAATGTCACAATGACAAATAATGGAATGTTATAAATCTCACTGAGGCTATCTGAGGCTATTTAGAAAAGACAAGCATCTTCATAACCTAGATCTGTCCAAATCATGTGGTTCTAATTGGTTACATTCTGGATGACATCGCAACACTAAAGGTTATATGTAGAACTGCATAAATACATTGTCTTCATGATCCACAACAAGGATTTTTTCCCATCTATATTACGGCGGTCTACAAATAATGGGCCACACAATCCAGTCCCTGGCATCATGAACAACTCGATCTACGCCACAACGACATGCATCAACCTCAGCGAGTCTGACCAGCCGATCCTATAGTCACCTTTACAACAAGCGTGGGTTGCTGAAGACCAAGTCCAACCCGGCTCTTCAGGGGTCGGGGCGGTGGGGTAGCCTAGTGGTTAAAGCGTTGGCTCGTCACGCCGAAGACCCGGGTTCGAATCCCCACATGGGTACATTGTGTGAAGCCCATTTCTGGTGTCCCCCGCCGTGATGTTGCTGGAATATTGCTAAAAGCGGCGTAAAACTACACTCAGTCGGTCAGTCAGTCTTCAGGGGTCATTTTGATGAGGGTCTTCTTGTGGTCACCACAAGTAGGATATTGTTTGGAACATCACCTAAGGTTTGAGACCCTTCCTTAAACAGGACATGTGCCGCCTCGTTATCGTCGCAAACCTGTGTTAATTCCAGATTCGACTGACTGACTGAGTTTGGTTTTACGCCGCTTTTAGCAATATTCAAGCAATATCACGGTGGGGGACACCAGAAATGGGCTTCACTCATTGTACCAATGTGGGGATTCGAACCCGGGTCTTCGTCGTGACGAGCCAACGCTTTAACCACTAGACTACCCCACCGCACCCCAGATTCGAATACGTCCTAAGCAACCTGTGCTGGTCGTAAGTGGGGACTTATTGGATCGAGTGTTCAGACTTGGTGGCATGGAGAACTGTCATCTATCCCAGCTGCGTACGATGTCAATCCGTTATTTGGACCTGCCTCACTGCTCTATATATATCATTTGGTTTGTAAAATCACTGGAATACTTTTCATAGCGACGTTAAACACAACTCAAAATATAGCTGGAGAATTGCTGGATAGGGCGTTAAACATAAAGCTAACGTTGAGTCGCAATATGCTGTGCAGAGTTGTGTCCCTTAGGCGTGCAAGGGTCCAGTGAACGTGGAAATCAAAGATTTGCCCTGATAATGCCCCACCTCCACCCACAGGCCGACAACGGATGTACCTGGACATCATCCTTGTATGTTGGTCTCAAGATGTGACCACCTGAGGGCCACGTAGCTTGTCATAAGAAACAGACGACACACGATCATGAGGTTCAACAATCAGTTATAAATATAAACAATCTACATCGGTAACTTACTTCTTGTTCGGGGTGAAGCGGTGGGGTAATCTAGTAGTTATGCCAAAGTAGTTATACCTTTAAACTGAATGGAATATTTTGCAAAATCAAGGTTAGAACAGTTGACTGAAACAAGTGGCTACATTTACACTAGTGAGTCTAAACTTTTGAAGGGTAGTATAGGAATGAGGGTTCGACTCCCCAAATGGGTACAATAAGTGACGCTCATTTCTTGCGTCCCTTGTTATATTGCTGGAATATTGGCCGGTATAACTGACTGACTGACTGAGTTTAGTTTTACGCCGCTTTTAGCAATATTCCAAAATATCACGGCAGGGGACACCAGAAATGGGCTTAACACATTGTGCCCATGTGGGGGGAATAGAACCCGGGTCTTCGGCGTGACGAGCCAACGCTTTAACAACTAGGCTACCCCACCGCCCCCGTAACCGGTATAACACTATACATTAACTCAAGCCTATTCTGGGAGGTTTGATCTACATACCAGGTTAACTGGTTGTTGGAAATGACATTCCGACGTAAGCAAAATTCAAAATAGCGGTTCTGGATATGCTACAAGCAGTCCATTTGGGACAACTGACCGTGTCGACTGCAGCGCTCATTAACTCTGTGACGTTGGCGTAGATTTCCTTTTTGGAAATTGTGTCTTTCAGTAGCAGGTACTCTAGGAACCCAACCTCCTCCTCGCTCACGGTCTTAGACTTCAGTTCAACCAGAGCTTCGTCCACGCACTGTCGAGCTGGAACACAGGTAATACACTCGTGTAGGTTTGTTATTTAACGCTGCACTTGCCAACTATATCACAGCTGTCTGTAAATAATCGACTATAGACGGACAATCCAATGACTGATATTATGAGCAACGATCAACATCGTCACGGTACGATGATGTATGCCTGACCACCCGATCTACATATTCACCTTAACATTTGGTCTAAGTTGCAAGCTTCTTAAACCCGAACCAAGTTTAGCATTGCTTCATTAAACTCAATGAGGCCCTTCCGACCGCCCGAGACGGGCTACATTTCTTAATTTACAGCTAGTCAGCCCGATAGTCTGGTAATTTTTTTAGATAACATGTTCCATACATCTGTGTTAATTCACCATATCTTAAAATCTATTTTTCAAATTGAGCGTTACATTTAGACTTGACAATTACTGTTTCAACATTGAACTATCTATCGCAAGCTCAAAGCAATGCGTCGACATATATTATCACTAAAACAGCGACACCTATCGATGAGCGGAGTCAGATTTCTCTGAAAATGACTGTTGTGAATAGACTGTAACATTGTAAATACATGTCTCAGGTTCATTAAATTATTCATTGTAACTAAAAACAGTTATTTTCTTTGGATTGTCTGGTCTGGTTAATTCCATTTTGGGCAGGAAACATTTTGAAGTTACCAGTCCTGATGTCTGGCTGAGGTTTTGGCTTACTTCATACACTGAAAACCTGGTCTCACTCACTCACTCACTCACTCTGTACCCACCTACACGGAACAGAGTATCCGTGGATCGGGTGAAAGCCCTGTACCGGAGAGGCCGGAAGATCTTGGCCAGCGTTGGGGGGTAATACTCCTACATCAGCCGTTGTCTCCAACATTACTCGGATAGCTTTCACAAAATCTTCACTCTCTCCAGAACGCTCGTCAGATAGGCACCCCATACGTTTGTCGTAAAGCACGGTGGAAATTGCTGAATTATAAAGTTGATTGTCGTACTGCACCCACCTCTCTCATGATGGTAATTGATAACCAGTTCCCAAATATTGATTCAAAGATACAATTTTATATTCAAAAATTGCCCCCCTCCCCCCAAAAATATATAAATACACAAATTTAAAATAATAATTATTACAATTCCCTTAAAAGTATTTATTTAATAATCATTGATAGAACATTCAAAACTTAAGTAACAGAGACATCCACTAAATCTATAGCATCTGCCCCTTTCGATTCGAAGCAACTTTCGCCTACTCTTCTTAAAAAGAAGGGATCTGAAGAATGCATATAAATGTCACGTATAAATCAGTAAATAGAATGAAGTAAAGCTGATCAATATACTTTCAAGTGACCAGTTGAAGAGCTCCACGTCGATGTTTTCCACAACCCCATCAGGGCCTCTGAGCCTCGCCAATCGGTCCAGAAATTCGGTGGTTATAATGTTAAAAGTGTCAGCGTAGCTCTCGACTGTCTTGATCTTCAACAACGGTTTGTCTACCACACTGCGCATGCGTTGCCAGTCCTCGCTGTCACTAGTCACAACAAAGCACAAGACGATTTTTTATGATATGCATATGATATGAAATATGGGTAAAATGATATTTTTTTTAATTTTCATTTGGATTTAAGTGCATTTTACATTTAATCTTATAAGTTACGATAAATCTCCACTATACCCTGGATGCATCCACGGCTTGGCCCCATGATTTTATTACCTCCCTTGGCTGACTTTTTATCCAATCAGGTGTCTACGCTGGGAAGTTGAGCGTACCAATCACAACTCACTTTCGCTTCTTTTATCTAACCGATTACACTGGGCAACACAATTGTTGGAGAGGTACTCTAAAAGAGTTCTTGCATATATTTTTTTAAGTTTCAGACCTGTCATTTGTCTGTATGATGCCCCCCCACCCCCACCCGATCGGAGTCGCGCTGCGAACAAACCTTCACTTTACAGTATTTACAAAGTACGATGAAGGAACACGTACGACTAGCCTTGAAACTCTGTGCAGCTGTAAAAGAGTTTGTCAACATTTTGTCAACCTGCAGCTGACAACCCGATCCCGTTAGTCGCCTATTACGACAAGATGAAGACTAAATCTAACGGGGATCTTCACAGGTCAGGAGGAAGACAGAAGTAGTTATCTATAATGACCATACATACGCTATAAATATTCCCTCAGCCTCCCCAGCCTGTTTTCTGTACTGACTCCATACAGGAACCTTGGTCCGCATTGGATACTTTCCTTCTTGGCGCAGGAAATCGCCTATAGCCTCCACATCGGTAATCATAACACTGTCCAGTACGCCCAACTTTTCTCTGAATATCGGTCCAAGCTGCTGATGACGAGACCATATCAATTCATGCATCTTCCCGTATTTTCCAGCAAATTCGAGCATATTGTTTATGACAGGGTATCCTTTCTTAAAAGGGATGTCATTGAATGGTTTTGCAGACGCGAAATCGTCGCGCCCTTTGCCTACTTCCGTGGAGTATCTGAAACGAACACATCCCACACAAGCCCGACGAGCTTGTGAATAGCAGGCTCTCGTTATTGCATGCGTCATGTTCAGGTGAGCGAATTTCGTGGTCGTCAACCATGTGTATCCGTTTTTTCATAAAATAGACACCAGCTGTCATGAGAGAGGAATATCAGGACATCCAAGAGGACGGAACGACAGTGCGGAAGTATTATCTTCTCACTGTAGATGCAGTCAGCCTGGTTCCCGTTGTCTTCGGCGCCGACACTTCGGCTGATGCAAAGTTCGTTTATCGTAGCGATTTGTCCATACGCAGTTATGTCCCTTTATAGCATGTCCGGACGCTGTTCAATCCACGGTTTGATTTTCAAGTGATTGATGCGGGTTGAAAGATCGAGTGTAAATATGTAAATATTTTCAGCATTTCTCATTGAGCATTCTGACTATTTTGCAGGTATTTTCCATATTTTTATTGTTGGTGAAGACACCCATAGCAACGTGACGACATGAGAACGCATTGTTGCAAATATCTGAAGATTACATCATTCGTTCTCAATGCCAAAAACCGGCCAAGTTAACAATGAATACCTTAGTTTAACATCTTTGGTATGAGGGTAATGGGATAGGCAAGTGGTTAAAGCGTTCGTTTGTTAGTTTGAAGACCCGGGTTCGATTCACCACACTGGTACAGGCTCCCCTTCTTTGATATTTAAGCAGCGTAAAACCTTACTCACTCTTTGGTATAACGCGACCGAGGATACAGCCACCGACAACTATAGTTTGGCATGAAATGCATGTGGACCCGGTTTTTTGTAAATATCTCTTCATCCAATGACCCAATCGATCTCAAACTGTGCAAGTGGATATTTTGTCAGACAACCTAATCACATTGTAAATCACCGATTTTATGCATTTGTATTAAAGAATCTGTCTATGTAACTGTCAACAAAATAAACAGCAGAACCCAGAAGGCTTGCAGAGGGAGGGAGCCAATGACCTGTAACAGCGGTAGTGTTGGGTCATAAAGGTAAATGCACGTGCAGTTCATGATAGTTACCTGTGCACTGCACAGTGATAGACCGTTTGGATCATTCACATTGACTACTTCTAGCTGTCATCATGAAAGCTTATTCAGATGATGCCAAATGTTTAATTAGAAATGTGTTGAATTTTTTTAAAAAGAGAGCAAACGTAGCAAACCGATTTATAAGGTGTCGGATTACATGAAACATTACAACTTTGCTCTTGGCATGAAAAGAACATCGTGCTAACAATTGTGAAAAATAAACCAACAACCAATAAACAAAACCTTGTACGAAAAGGTAGGCATCCAAAGTTAGATTCTTTTAACATCAGGGTCATCAGCAAGGCTGACCTACATTGACGAACGTTGACCTTTATGACCCAACACTGCAGCTGTTACAGGTCATTGGCTCCCTCCCTCTGCAAGCCTTCTGCGTTCTGCTGTTTATTTTGTTGACAGTTACATAGACAGATTCTTTAATACAAATGCATAAAATCGGTGATTTACAATGTGATTAGGTTGTCTGACAAAACATCCACTTGCACAGTTTGAGATCGATTGGGTCATTGGATGAAGAGATATTTACAAAAAAACGGGTCCACATGCATTTCATGCCAAACTATAGACCACGGAGGCGGCGGACGTACCAACCTAAACAATCAGCACGACTCGTCAAGTGTCAACACCATTGTGTCAATATTTGTCCTCTGATCGAAGGCGTTGCACATTGGACTGTGCATGTCGCAATCACAGGGGTTCGAATCACTGTTTGGACAATAATTTTTTAAAATAAACATCTAGACTTTTGCAAATATTGTTTTAACATTGCAAAAGTCAAGACTTTTTTTTAGAAATTATATGATTCGAACCTATGTCTTTACACGAGGCCAACCCCCGAGTCGTTGCTTAAATGTTGTTTTGGCTTATTTACATTACGACATGTACAACTATATATATCTTTACACTAGGTCAAACCCCCGAAAACAACCGCTCGTCTTTTATCATAGATTTTGAAGCAAAAGGGCACATTATGCCCTAATTTATCCATCGTTGAGTTGAATTCAAGTCGTAGGAACTTTTGAGACTTAGACACTGGACTTGTATGCACAGTATATGCTCGATAAGACAGCCTTAGATTGAAGCATCTCACAGTTGGACATAGTAACTCGAGAATGAGCTAGTGCAGATTCACGGGATCTTGAATATTGGACGACCTGTCTCAAAGGTTGGGTAAAAGTGTCGGGTCATGAATATGGGTAAAAGATAACGGAACATATTGGATGAGTGAGTGAGTGAGTTTAGTTTTACGCCGCTTTTAGCAATATTCCAGCAACATCACGGCGGGGAACACCAGAAATAGGCTTCAGACATTGTGCCCATGTGGGGAATCGAACTCGGGGTCTTCGGTGTGACGAGCGAACGCTTTAACCACTAGGCTACCCCACCGACCACATATTGGAAGAAGCACGCTACTGTATACTGCAGAGTGCAGGCCTATGCAAAAGTAGTCTGTCTCAAAGTCCAAGAACCATATCATTATCCTTTCCGTTCGGCCATTTGTGTGATTCAACAACCATTTGTGTGATTCAACAACCATTTGTGTGATTCAAAAGTCCGAAATGATTCAAGCCCAGATTTCCCTCAGTTTCTGTATCTCTCTTCTCATCGGGACACCATTCTACTATAAATGTAGTTCTTTGTTTCTATCTAAATTATAAATATACAGGGACTTGTAAATATATTAGACTCAGTCTAATGCTGAACGTTCAAAATCCGAACTCGTTCCACGGTATAACGCTGTATGACGACCGCGGCCTGGATGAGTTGGTCATCGTGACACTAAGCAGCAGTTAGGTCAGACGTGTTTATTTTCGTTTAAGGTCTGTTATAACAAACACTTGGGAATAAGAAGAAAAAAAATATTAAACATTAAAATTTTATGTTTTTTAGTCAAGAAGTTAAAGTGGATCTATTATACAGCAGGGTTGGAAATAACTTTAAAATTGCTAGTGTACTCCGGTACAGTGGCACATGTAAAATCACTTGCCCTGATAAGTTTTCCACTATACCGGCCGTTTTCTTGTTGATTTTTTAAATAAACAACATTATTAACATTGGAAAGTCAACTGGACACCGGTACAGCGTGATATACAAATTTGCTTGCCCGGCGGAAAAAAACACTGGACTCGGACGTCGGGCAATGGGTTATTTCCACCCCTGAAATTATACACCTAAATACGGCCAGTGTTGATCCCGTATTATCTTTGTGATAAACCCGGACGTTTTCATGCAGGCCAAAAAAGGTTCTGTTCGCTTTTCACAAGGTATAATTCGTCTACGTCTTTTTTCCAGGGTCGGCGAATTCCGCAGACCATTTGAACAAGTCCTTGCTTGTTCCTACTGGTACTGACAGAGGCAGTGGTAGTGGTAATATTACCTAACGCTTTTTCGCTGAGTCTTCTTGTAATAGTGATAAATTACTTATGTGAAATCACAGCGAGTGACCTGGTCAAGCGAGTGTTTTTTTATAGCTTTCCAAGAGCATGCCGAAACCATGAGTCCATCCCATAAATGGTTAAAATATATTCTGCAAAACCTATTTTTATGTAAACGTTAACTTGGAAAGCTGAAAGCGGATTAAATCAGTAGTCACTCACTCACTCATCTTCAGGGTTTCGAAGAAATCAACTTGTTGATCAACATCACATCCACATTACACTAACAGCAATCCAGAAAGTCTAGTTCCACTGTAAGTTGTGTGATCTAGCCTAGTTCAGACAGTAGGATTACGTAGACACGAAACCTGGGCGTTCTTCACGAAAGTCTCTTAGCGTTACGGGGGCGGTGGGGTAGCCTAGTGGTTAAAGCGTTGGCTCGTCACGACGAAGACCCGGGTTCGATTCCCGACATGGGTACAATGTGTGAAGCCCATTTATGGTGTCCCCGCCGTGATATTGCTGGAATATTGCTAAAAGCGGCGTAAAACTTAACTCACTCACTCACTCAGCGCTACGACGTCCTAAACCCAGTCGTTAAACAGCTCTTAATTTTTTTGTGCCGTTCCACAAAGACCTCCTAACTTTACACCCCTATCATAAACAACCTGTTAGCATACGATGGTCAAGGGGCACGTGTAACTAGCTTACGACATCGTACATCAGCGTTTGATATGACGACACTATTGAGAATTCAAGAAATTTTGAACAGGAGAAATATTAAGCGAGAGAGCATATTTAGGGATAGGACCGACACCGGACACTTCGACCGACACAGAACTAATTCTCTGGTTTCGTTTTCTTCCGCATAACATCCTTCAGCTGGTTGATCGGGTCGGCTTGGCCATCACTCGGCCAGCCAACCAAACGTTCGTGTGCTCTACCTGCCCATGTTTAGCATGGTCAAGTCGAACTATTTAGTCTCCAGCGACGATTGCAGAAGATTCAGTTGCTGAATCAGGTCTAGACAGGCGAGCGATGCTCATGCAGCAGTGCCCGCTTACTTTGAATGACCTGGACTTGCAGAGACAGATCCAGCAGTATGAATTGGGTAGATATATGCTCATGATGTTGATCACTGGATTGTCTGGTCCAACTCGATTTGTCAGAAAGGCTTATTTCTCCACTTAATGTTCCCTATTAATTCATTTTTACCCTTTCCATCCGATTCCTAGATTCCACTTTTCATGTAAATCCAATCCATTCCTATTCCACTAAAATCCCAGTTTCTGTAATTACCAGCAATAAAAGAAGGCTGCCTTCATACATGTGCTTTGTCCTGGTATCAGTGCCCACAGCCTAGCCGCTGTTCCTTGGCTGAATCTGAACCACTAACAGTGTCCAGAACCCTCCAAAAAGCAACTGGCCCTTAATTACACGATTATTTACAGACCGACGCTATACAGCTGGAATATTGCTCAGTGCGGCGTAAAACAACCAACCAACCAACTAATCAACCAGAAGTATGAACACATAATACAGAACAAGAGTCACATAATGGCAGTAACCATGTGTAAAATATGGGACGGTTAAACTCGTCTCCAAATCTTAACCTGCGGGTAAATGGTTGTCATATATTCAAACAAAACTCAATCTGTTGTGTATATGTTTATTTGACAAGTGAAGATCCAAGTTAGAATTGGTCTCCAGCAACCAATGCTTGTCGTAAGAAGCTACTAACGTGATCGGGTGGTCAGGCTCTAGACTCTTAGATCGGCGCTCATGATGTAAATCACTGGATTGTCTGGTCCACACTCGATTACTTACAGACTGCGGTCATATAGCTGGAATATTGCTGAGTGTGGTGTTCAACAGCAAACAAATAAATACATCAATGCATGTTATTTTATGCCCACATGCATCAATATACAGTCGAGCACCGTTGTCTCGATATTCATGGGACCAAGGGGGCGGTGGGGTAGTCTAGTGGTTAAAGCGTTGGCTCGTCACGCCGAAGACCCGGGTTCGATTCCCCACATGGGCACAATGTGTGAAGCCCATTTCTGGTGCCCCCCCGCCGTGATATTCTGGAATATTGCTAAAAGTGGCGTAAAACTAAACTCAGTCAGTCATAGGACCAAGAAAAATATCGAGTTATCCGAACTTCGAGACATCCAACCAGGATATCATCACATATCGCTATGAAAGAAACAAAACGCTTCTCAGTATGTTTTGATTAGAAACTATAATCCGTTATCAGTAGTGTTTATTCGTAACAGTAGTGAGTACTCCCTAATTAATTCCTTCTTAATTAATCCTAATTAAATAACAAACAAGTGACACCTTCAACTCAATTAGCCTTAATTAGTTTACACTACCACATCCATTTGATTCATGCCGCACCGTGTGGAAACAACCTCAGTTCAGAGGGATACTTATGTGAATATCGAATTTGTCTGCAAATATCGAGTTTAAATTGTAATTTTGCTTGTTGGGACCATCAAATACAATCGAGACATCTGTATCGAGTTAAACGAGCTTGAATAATGATAAATCATGATGGATTTTGCCGGGACCGAGATGTTATATCGAGACAACCGAGATATCGAGTTATCAGAGTTCGACATAACGGTGCTCGACTTTATACAAGTATTCTAGATATATGGCAGCGGTCTGTAAATAATCGACTCTGGACCAGATACTCCAGTGATCATCAGTATGAACATCGATCTACGCAACTGGGATACGATAACGTGTCAACCAAGTCAGCGCACCTGACCACCCGATCCCGTTTGCCGCTTCTTACGACAAGCATGGGTTACTGAAGATCAATTCTAACCCAGATCTTCAAGGCATGTTAATGCGCTAGTAAAATATACGACTATAGAAATACTCTTGCACATCAAGGGGGACTAAGTACGGTTACGTATAAAATCAAATAAACTTTGTTTCAGAACGGAAATTTGTCAAACGAAAGACAAAATGTCACTTTGTGAAACATAACATTCGAATCCAAATGGCCATCTATGGCCGACAAGTGAGTATGATTGCCGATGGTTTTGGAGAAAATGCCTGCTTACTGTCGAGAAAATGATTTGTAGATGTTGCAATAAGTTTTTAGACCCGTGGAATGCCGCTGCTGATCGAATCTAGCCCTACATAGGTGCTGTCAACGTGGCTGGAATTAATAAACGAATTTAAAAGGTGAGTTTTCGCTGTCTTGGGTGATCCATGATTTTGGCTTGGAATTGCGCAGGCTGCTGTTTTCGGTGAGTCGTGGCGTATAACTTTTGAAATAATGACCATTTATAGCTCATTTTGTAGGGAAATCATCTCGCTTTTGATCCGTAAAAAAATAGTTTACGTGGTGAAATCTAACTTAGATTGAGGAGGGGGTCGTTCCGTCGTTACATCCCTTTCCTTTTATATAGTACTAGGGTAGGGTCTATATACATATATGTCTTTCTACCGCTGTTTCTTAGCGTGACACGCCCCTGTGGTCATGGATACATGGGCACATGGTCACATTGTTGGTTGATGAACCTTCCGGTAATAAGATCATATTCTTATCTAATTAACCCGCATTCGTGTTGCTTCTCTGTGAGGTATGTGACTCCGTCATTAGGTTGAAGCAGGTTGTCTATCCACAAGCTTCACCTTGACAGGATCTTTTGGTCTGGTCACTACCAACTGAAGTAGGTCCGGAGGAGGCTGGTCGCACGGCTCCAGATCAAATCTCTGTAACATCTGACAAACAAAACAAGACCATGATCTCTGTGGCTCCCTGAAGGCTTGGTAATGTTTTTATAGCATTTAATTCTTCAAAATATAAAATCATATTCGTCAAGTTAGGTCTTAAGGTAAAAAAATAACGTTCTACACTGTATGGTCCTCGGTTATTTGAAGGGCAGAAGGTCTGCCGCAGAGCGGAAATCGGTGAAAAGAAAACATATTGAAAGATGGTACCTTATAATTTACCATACCTGGTGCTCGAGAACAAAGGGAAGAACCAAGGTGAGGTGAGGTGAAATGGGGTTTAACGTTTTAGCTCACTGAGATACCATGTCACAGTTAAGTATGAATACCTCACTCAGACACTTTATAGACTCCGAGCCGACCAGCCAACCAGTCCTTGTTTCACCCACTAATGCCGAACGCCACCCGCGGCTTTCCGCGGTCCGGGCGGACGCTCTAACCGCTACACCACCGAGGCGGTCAGAACCTAGGAAAGGTCGGAGTTGGGTGTGCTTATTAAATTGCCAGATGGTATCTCAGTGGGCTAGCACTGTAAAACGTTACTTCACTACAACGCACTTGTTACGCCATGACGTTGTGACCCTGTGACCGTTGACTGAGTACATCATGTCGTTCTGACCCCATGACTTTAAACCGAGTATGCCATCTCGTTCTGACCAATTGACCTCACATTGGGTACGTCTTTGTCATCCGATGGTTTCCAGTGTGAGTATGAAAACTCAAAGTGACGTTGTGACGGAATGTGCATGTGGTTGAGATCTTCCGCTGGGCACATCCTGATCTGACTGGAGTATTCTGTTTACAGCTAACTTTCAAAAGTACACTTGATCTGACACCAGAGAAGCATAGTTTCGTACCATACATACAGTCTCCGACACATCGCCATTCCTTACCTGAGATATCAGGAGCTGCATTTCCAGTTCCGCGACTCGTCGACCTGAACATCAAATATAACAAAGAACGATAAGCAGTCTCTTATAACATTACCAGGAAGGAAGGAACGATTGTGTGCAATACATTCTGATTGGTCAGCGAATACGACATGACACAAACACATCAAACCTTAACATCGGGGCCGTTTTCGGGGCCGCTCATAATCTTTGAAAGAGATTACGAGAGACGAGAAATGATGATTTTAAGAGGGGAGGGTGTCACCCACATTGTTCTGGGGAGGGGATGTCATCAAGTCTGTACATAGGTATATTTATCGAATTTGCTTATAAATTATGGGAAACGGTTGGGTGGGGGTGGGGGAGCTCATTGATTTTGTACATGACATGCAGGGGGTGGGGTGGGTCATTGTTACAGGTCATTGGCTCCCTCCCTCTGCAAGCAGTTTGTGTTTTGCTGTTTATTTTGTTGACAGTTACATAGACAGATTCTTTAATACAAATGCATAAAATCGGTGATTTACAATGTGATGAGGTGGTCTGACAAAACATCCACTTGCACAATTTGAGATCGATTGGGTTATTGGATGAAGAGATATTTACAAAAAAAACGGGTCCACATGCATTTCATGCCAAACTATAAACTATACGTTCATTTCGGAAATGACTTCAAATGAGACAATTTAAGGAGGAAAAAAACACTATTGCAATAGTTGGTCTCAAAAGACTATCGGCATCGCAATAGTATGTTGCAATATAGGGCTGCAACGATTCACCGAGACCTTGATTCGATTCGATTTTCGATATTGGACCCTTGATTCGATCATTTTCGATTCGATTCTTCATACAAGTAAAAACATCCGATTTCATTTAACCCTCAGAATCGGCTTTTTTAGCGTCAAATCCATCGTCACCTTGGCGATGTCTACTAAAAACAATTCTCATTGGATAATTAGCCCAGCGTCAACCAATCACGTTTCGCCTTATTTCAGCGCTCGAAACTGCTCGAGTTGGAGACAAAATTACGTTCTGGTTGTGTGGAAATAATTAAAATAGTTATTCAAATATCGAATCGAAATAGTGATAATGGTTATCGAAAATCGAAAGTAAGGTGTCAGATTCGATTTTCGATGAATCGAACCGAATCGTTGCAGCCCTATTGCAATACACTATCCTCATCGCAATAGTTGTTTCCCTCTCAATAGTCAAGCATTATTCCTCTCGGAGTCGCTATACTTTGTCTGAATAATATTTCCATGTGGTATGTAGCATAAACAACCAACATTACTTCATGCACCTCCTTACATATCAAACTACATGTACACTACATTCATGTTCATTAATATGATGAAGTACATCAATTCCATTTCTATAAATAGCTCGGTAAATACTTTGCGAATGAAATCAAGAATTGCCTCATGATGCCAATTAGGAGATAAACATCATGTGTTGGCGAATTTCCGGGTGTTATTGAGTATTTGAAGCACGGGAATTCATTTGGAACCGACGGCGTCATTCGGACTTTACGTCACAATATGATTTTAATGACGTCATCACAGCTGACGACGTAACAATACAATGGTGTGAGCGATGTTTGTATGTATTAATACGCAGAGAATTTCCGGGAATCAAATACCATTTGATCACGTTTTTCAACCAATCAGATTAAACAACACAGTGACTTTTGGTTTACAATATATGTTGTAGCATTGTGATGAGGGGTATACAGGTTTTTATCCACCGAGCCAGAGGTAGGATAATTAGGAGATAAACATCATGTGTTGGCGAATTTCCGGGTGTTATTGAGTATTTGAAGCAGGGGAATTCATTTGGAACCGACGGCGTCAGCCGGAGGTTTCAAATGAAATATTCCCGTGCTTCAAATACTCAATAACACCCGGAAATTCGCCAACACATGATGTTTATCGACATTGTAAACACAAAAGTAAACCGAAAGGTCCACACACGTTTTTGTGTCTCCTCTCATTGACATCGAGTACGGGTACAGCAGTGAAATGTCATCAGCCGGCCGTTTCGGCTGTCTCCCATGGTAGCATCTGGAACTGCTCATTTGTGACGTCATTCGGACTTTACGTCACAATATGATTTTAATGACGTCATCACAGCTGACGACGTAACAATACAATGGTGTGAGCGATATTTGTATGTATTAATACCCAGAGAATTTCCGGGAATCAAATACCATTTGATCACGTTTTTCAACCAATCAGATTAAAGAACACAGTGACTTTTGGTTTACAATGGTAAATAACATCTTCATATTGACACTCACCAATGCACATTCTTGGTCCGAAGCCAAACGGGAGATGTGAGAATGCCAAAGGTTTCTCGCCGTCCTTTCTGCTTTCTCTCAGCCAGCGTTCAGGTCGAAAGGTCAAGGGGTCATCATACATTGACGGAAGTCGTCCAGTGACATATAACGACACCGCTACCATTTTCTGCAACATGTAATACCGATTTTCGGCAGTCAAGACACGTCTATACACTGGCAGATCACTGGTACACTCATCTGAGGTACATTTCGCATCAAGGACAGTCTAGCAATATTAATATATTAAATATTATAGACATTGAATTGATGAACTTCTGTCGTCCTACATATATATGTACACAGTGTGAGGGGCGGTGGGGTAGCCTAATGGTTAATGCGTTCACTTGTAACGACAAACATCCGGGTTCGATTCCCTACATGGTTACAATATGTGAAGACCATTTCTTGTGTCCCCCGCCGTGAAATTTATGGAATATTGCTGAAAGTGGCATAAAACCACAAACACTCACATAATGTAACGAGGTGTACAGATGTAACATCGAACTACTTGAGGCCCCCCTGAAGATCCTAGTTGATCTGGTCTTCAGCAACTGATGCTTGACGTAAAAGGCGACAGGGTCGGGTTGTCAGGCTTCTTGACATGAATGACGCTTGTCCTATTCAAGTGACCCCATGAAAATTCACTAGCTAGTCGGGCCAGTGACTGTGAATATTTACTGGGCCGATTGGATTTTTACTAGCCACGGGCTAGCGGGCCATTTGCTATTTCGTACACTGTGTACAGTCCTACAACCTAATTTTGCATCAGTGTAATGACTATTTTTCATTCAGGGTGTGTACTTACCCCTTTTGGCACCTGGTATCCCATGATAACCACATCTTCCTGGGCCACCCTACCGACGAAGCTCCCGACAGGGTACAACCTATAAAACAAAACAAAACAATTCATCCGAAGAATAAGAACTATAGTATTTCGTATACTTTTAATAATCATGTACATATTTCCACAAATGACATGACACACTGAATGGTATTACCTGAGCGTTTCTTTGATAACTGCCTTCAGGTAGGGCATAGTCCTGAGATGTACGGGGGTGGGGATTTCCCCGGGGGGCACCGACCTCTCCAGTTCCTCTCTCAGCTTCTTCTGAACATCCGGGTTCTTGGTAACCTCATATAAGATGAACTGGAGGGTGTTTGACGTCTGTGAAAGGTGACTCACATTAATCAATAGGAACATAGCAAGAAAACAAAGTCATCTATGCATCTATATCCCCCTCTCTTTGTCTGATCTTGAAAGGAATGTCATGTGCAAAGATAAAGAGACTGTAAATATTAACTGACTTGTCAACCTTGTGGAAGAGGTTGACCACAACACATACTTACGGCATCTCCAAAAGTAACATTTAGTTTCTGAAGTTAACACTTTCTACGAAAATAAAAACGGTTCTGAATTATAATCATAAAATATAAAAGCCCATAGACTTTCTTCATTTTCAACTGTGGTAATCTAGACTTGCCACATATGCTAGGCTTGCATGGATTTTCTTGGGATATATTTGTTTCAAGATCTGTGGATGACGCGACAAATAGCAAGTTAGATATTATTTTGTCTTATCAGCAAAGCAAGATGCATGTATGTGGAAACTGTATAACTGACCGTGTCGACAGCAGCACTATTCAATTCCGTGACGTTAGCGTATATTTCGTTTTTGGACAAAGTGTCTTTCAGAAGCAGGTACTCCAGGAACCCAGCCTCTTCCTCCTCTCCCTCGCTCACGGTCCTAGACTTCAGTTTAACCAGAGCTTCGTCCACGCTCTGACGAGCTGGAACACAATGAGTGAGTCGGTGAGTTTAGTTTTACGCCGCACTCAGCAATATTCCAGCTATATGGCAGCGGTCTGTAAATAATCGAGTCTGGACCAAACAATCCAGTGATCAACAGCATGAGCATCGATCTGCGCAATTGGGAACCGATGACATGTGTCAACCAAGTCAGCGAGCCTGACCACCCGATCCCGTTAGTCGCCTCTTACGACAAGCATGGGCTACTGAAGGCCAATATTCTAACCCGGAACACGGGTGCTGGAAAACAAGCTGTACCCAAGTTACATACATGATAATCACGATACTGTGCATGTTTTCAAAGTACTACATCCACATAGATAATTGCATAATTGGTGCCATGTGTAATTCAGACCTCATTATCCAGAGCATATTTATTTCAGACCTTATAATCTGTTACCATATATAATTGAGACCTCATAATTTTACTATATATAATTCAGATAGCATAATTTACCCCATACATAATGTAGAACTCATAATCTTTACCATATATAATTCTACACGCGTTATGCTGAAACATTTATGGGACTGTATGACATACAGTCCGTTTGTCTAAGAGATTATGTGTTCAAGTGGACATCTTTATTGTTCTCATTTGGAGACAAACGGACTCAGTTTGTAAATCATCAGCTTTAAGTTGTTCTTTTCGATATGTGGCTGGAATATATACAGATGCGAGGTTAAATTGTTACCCACCTATTTTCAAACGGTCACCGTTGCCGTCTTTAGGAAGTCCCTTTCGCTCCTCGCTCACACTTCCACGTCATATCACTAAACAAGATGAACCATATAAATGGCTTCACTTACCCACTCGGAATACGGTGTCCCAGGATTGAGTGAATTCCCTGTATTTGGATGGTCGGAGAAGCTTTGCCAGCCAGGGGGGGAAAACAGCTATCTCGACTGTAGTCTCAAGCATAGACCGAACTGCCTTCACAAACTGTTCACTGTCGGGACTGCGGGTGTCGGTTAAACACCCCATTCGTTTGTTGTACAGTAGCGTACATATAGCTGAAAGTTATACAACAGAGGAATGAGAGGATGACCATTAATCTCATTACTTAAACTGTAACACAAAATGCACAAAAAGACCAAATTCTAATAAAACTAACAAAATGATATTTCGATCGTTAAGCAAAGACGAAACACTTACATTCCAGTGACCAGTTGAAGAGCTCCACGTCCAGGTTTTGTACAACCCCATCAGGGCCCCTGATACGCGCCAATCTGTCCAGGAACTCGGCGGTTACAATGTTGAAATCGTCAGCGTAACTCTCAACTGTCTTGATCTTCATCAGTGGTTTGTCTACTACACTGCGCATGCGCTGCCATTCCGGACCATCTCTGTCAAGTTCATATTAAACCAGGAGGTATGTATACATGCGTAAGCCTGTGACCTGTGTCATGTTGGCGGGGATACGTTCAGCCTCCTTACATACAGTATAATGCACACGTGATCTCAGCAAAGTTTTGGGGGGATGGAAATTTGTGAAAATATATTTTCTTGATACCTCTGTCAAAACCACAACAGTGAAATCCATTAAAATCCCTACATCAAATGTAACGGTATTTCAAACAAAAATTATTGAGCAATGATCACATATAGTTGGGATACGATGACATGTGTCAACAAAGTCGGCGAGTCTGACCACCTGATCCCGTTAGTCGCCTCAAGCAACAAGCAATTCTAACCCGGATCTTAACGGGTTGCCTATTACAACAACGCTGAGTAAATGATAGTACGTACGCAGTAAGCACGCCATCAGACTCCCCTGAATCCTTCCTGTACTGATCCCAAACTTGGATCTTTGTCCGCATCGGATACTTGCCTTCTTGGCGGAGAAAGTCGCCTAAAGCCTCCACATCTGTGATCATCACGCTATCAAACACTCCATTCTTTTCTCTGAAAATCGGCCCAAGTTGTTGATGCCGGGACCAGATGATTTCATGTGCTTTTCCTGGTCTTCGCAAAAATTCCGGCATATTGTTTATTATTGGATATCCTTTCTTAAAAGGGATGTCCATGAAGGGCTTAGCCGAAGCGAATTCGTATCTGGCCGACCCTGCTTCCGCGGTAGATCTGAAACGAACACATCCTGCCCAAACTTGAAGTGTTGGATATTGCGAAACTCTTCTGATTAAATGTGCCATGATTAGTGTCCACTTACTCCTTCGACATCGAAGTATTCATGCAAAACCGTGTTTTGGGATGAATTATGGAAGATGTCTTTTGTCCTGACTGAACGGATCACTGTTTACTTCACCTGACCGCACTGATGTTTGTGACTATAATTCTAAGCAGATAGTCCATGCACAGTTATGCCCCTTGCGTGGGTACTGTGTTCATCTGTAAGCTTATCACAGCGATAGCCCTTCAGCGGAGCTCTCTCTGTATTGTCAAGTTGTGGAGTTTAAAGAAGGAATCGCGCTGAGGAGGAGCTTGGGTATTGACCCATATTGACTGGGTTCATGTCTAGTTGAATGCGTAAACGCGGTATGCTTGAGTTGCGTACTGGGTCAGGACTCGAACGATTTTAGGGCCAAAGCTCCTTCCAAATTAGACTAAGAACTAGTCTCTGAAATGAACATATTTTACAGAAAAAAAGTTTTCTTTGAGAGGCATTTTAGAAGTTGTATAGATGAAGGAAAACCAAGTTCTATGGATAGTCAACTTCTTCATTGCAATGAGTGCGACGTTTCCGTGTATAGTTTGGCATGAAATGCATGTGGACCCGTTTTTTTGTAAATATCTCTTCATCCAATGACCCAATCGGTCTCAAACTGTGCAAGTGGATGTTTTGTCAGACAACCTAATCACATTGTAAATCACCGATTTTATGCATTTGTATTAAAGAATCTGTCTATGTAACTGTCAACAAAATAAACAGCAGAACGCAGACGGCCTGCAGAGGGAGGGAGCCAATGACCTGTAACAGCGGCAGTGTTGGGTCATAAAGGTTCATAGTTCATAGTCAAAAATATCAAACAGAATGAAAAGGAGCTTTCTTGAAGCTGTTGAAATCTAGACTTGCCACATTTTCTAGACTTGCGCTTTCTTGGATATATTTGATTCAGGGTTTGTATGACAGATTACTTCCAAATGTGCGACACATTTGTTAGCAACCCGGAAAATAGGTACAGCAGTTGAGTACTGACTCCTCAGCTCTATGACAGCGTGCATTCCGCTGTGAGGAGCTTGATCAACCGTGGGTCTGCGGAGTATTTTGTCATTCGCTGCTTGCAACGTAACACACGGGTTACAGAAGTATCTTGGGGCTATGATTTTGGACATATGTTCAGCATGGACACAATTTTTATGGCAAATTATTATCATGATTTTGAAAATTACAATATTGCTATATATTTAGCAACAGATCAACAATTGTTGATCAACAATCAACAGCGAAATTTCATATAAGTATGTCATATTTATATGTAAGATATCTTTCCTTCACCAGGAACGAGGTACGTATGTCTTGAAACAGAGTGACTTGAAGACTGTGTTTCTAACAAAGATCTACATCTGGCATATACCACATGTTGTTTCTACTCATGTGAAATGGTCTACTACACACACAGTAAGCAGAAGTGTGTGTGTGCGTGTGTGTGTGCCTGTGCGTGCGTGCGTGCGCATCTGTACATTCTTTTATTACTCCACACTCCGGCAGAGCGATGACTTAACATAACATCACTTTAGCTGGTTCCCGGCTCCCTTTGCTCGCGCTAACGTTCGCCAAAGCTATTGCGATGTGCGAGACGGGGCCCAGCTTAAACATCACTGCCACAGGCTAATTTGCATATCACGAGACCGGACATTTCTCTTGTTTGTAATCAAACGTGCATATTCATAATAAGAAGAGGCAGGACTCACGAAAGCTTTTCAGCGCTCTTTTCATAATGTTTTACATTGTTACATATATATTCTTCCACAACTGCGACAATAAGGTCTATGACAGTACATATTTAGATATCAAACTGGCTGCATCGTTTGCTCTCCATCAGCTTCGATGACAGCACGTTGAGCCGTACAACCTATGTAAACAAAGGATTTCTACGCAAATCGAAATAGTGTTACATGTTTTTGGATATTTTCTCAGTGAAACTAAACCATTCTATTAAAGATGTTTAGTAAGATGTGTAGACTCGTCAAAAATAAAAGAGTAAAAGAAATCTGTACATTATATTGAATGGACATTGCAATCGTCACACTTTTGTGGCCTGTGGCAGAGGTACTATGCTGGCTTGCCGCATGGAACTCTGGGTAGGAGAGTGTTATTACCTACGTGGTCAACGTATGTAGTTGCATACTAATCTCGTACGTTACACGAGTGTCGTATCGCGTTGACCTGTGTTGTAACGACTTGACCTGAGATTCTAACGATTTGATTGGATAACCGATGACCTCTCAGTTAGGTCACATTCTGACGTAACTATTTTTTCATTCATAACAAACCGAGGGTCGGCGAAGTATTTTGAATATCATCCTGGTTCTCGGGCCTCTCATTATGTTAATATAGAGGCTGTATATCCAGGATGGAGAGGCCCAGAGAACCAGGATGTTTTGTCATTCGCTGCTTGCAACGTAACACACACGGGTTACAGAAGTATTTTGGGGCTATGATTTTGGACATATGTTCAGCATGGACACACTTTTGATGGCAAATTATTATCATGATTTTGAAAATAACAATATTGCTGTATATTTAGCAACAGATCAACAATTGTTCACTGACAGCGAAATCTCCTGCAAATATGTCATATTTATATGTAAGATATTTTTCCTTCATCAGGAACGAGGTACGTATGTCTTGAAACAGAGTGACTTGAAGACTGTGTTTCTAACAAAGATCTACATCTGGCATATACCATATGTTGTTTCTACTCATGCGAAATGGTCTACCACACACACCGTAAGCAGAAGTGTATGTGTGTGTGTGTGTGTGTGTGCGTAAGTGCGTGCGTGCGTGCGTGCGTGCGTGCGCGTGCGTGCGTGCGCATCTAATACATTCTTTTATTACCCCCACACCTGGCACAGCGGTGACTTTAACATAACATCACTTTTATAGCTGGTTCCTGGCTCCCTTTGCTCGCGCTTTCAACGTTCGCCAAAGCTATTGCGATGATATGCGAGACAGGCCCAGCTAGAAACATCACTGCGACAGGCTAATTTGGCATATCTACGCATGACTGGACATTTCTCTTGTTTGTAATCAAACGCGCATATTCATAATAAGAAGAGAGACTGGACTCAGCAAGCTTTTCGGCGCTCTCTTCTATATTGTTTTACATTGTTACATATATATTCTTCCACAACTGCGACAGTAAGGTCTATGACAGCATACATATTTAGATATCAAACTGGCTGCATCGTTTGCTCTCCATCAGCTTCGATGACAGCACGTGGAGCCGTACAAGTTATGTAAACAGTGCGATCGCTACGCAAATCGAAATAGTGTTGGCATGTTTTTGGATACTTTCTCAGTGAAACTAAACCATTCTATTAAAGATGTTTAGTTAAATTGTGTAGACTCGTCAAAAAATAAAAAGAGTTAAAGAAATTTGTACATTATATTGAATGGACATTGGTAAGATGTGACGAATCGTCACATTTTTGTGGCCTGTGGCAGAGGTACTATGCTGCCACTTTGCCGCATGGAACTCTGGAGTAGGAGAGTGTTATTACCCACGTGGTCAACGTAGCGTAGATGCATACTAATTTCGTACGTCACACGAGTGTCGAATCGCGTTGACCTGTGTCGTAACGACTTGACCTGAGATTCTAACGATTTGATTGGATAAAACGATTACCTCTCAGTTAGGTCACATTCTGACGTAACTATTTATTCATTCATAACAAACACGTGAATTCATTCTTTCTACAACTTAAATGCATTCGCTCGGTCAGATACAATAGGAAAGACACTCGTTCTGTATGAATTCGTATGTAATGAGACTCGTGTGTAGTATTCTTTATAGATGTGACTGAGAGCTTTGGTCGTTGCCCGCTTCGACTTGTGTTAGAATTTATCCTCATCGATTTCTTTTTAATTGCATAGGCTTCTTTATAACCAAACGCATGAATAAATATGGACTCTCTCTCTCGTTAAGGCAATTTGAGGAATCAATTTTTAGGTACTGCGACTTCGGTAGTCTGTCTCCGTCCCTGAACCGTATTATTTCCCTTCTGATGGCCTTTTCTACAGTGCTATAACCCTAAAATGAACAAGTCTAGATTTCCTCAGCAAGGTTCTGAATCTCCCTTCTCCTCTTCGGCTCCTTTTCAATTTCAAAGGAATTGTTTGTTTTTATCAAAATTATATATATTCAGAGACAAAGCGTCAGTCTGAGCCTTTGGCTCCTCATATCTGATTGGTAAACCAAAGGCGATGCCAGAGTTGACGAGATCGCATATTTATCTTATGATCAAATAGGTGATTATTCAGATTATCAGAGTTCAAAATGCCATTTCGTGAATCCAGGAATTGGCATGGATACATGGGCACTTGGTCACATTGTTGGTTGATGAACCTTCCGGTCATAAGATCATATTCTCATCTAATTAGCCCGCATTCGTGTTCCTTCTCTGTGAGGTATGTGACTCCGTCATTAGGTTGAAGCAGGTTGTCTATCCACAAGCTTCACCTTGACAGGATCTTTGGTCTGATCAGTACCAACTGAAGTAGGTCCGAGGAGGCTGGCTATCGCACGGCTCCAGATCAAATCTCTGTAACATCTGACAAACAAAACAAGACCATGATCTCTGGCTCCCTGAAGGCTTGGTAATGTTTTTATAGCATTTAATTCTTCAAAATATAAAATCATATTCGTCAAGATAGGTCTTAAAGAGTAAAAATATAACGTTCTACACTGTATTGTCCTCGAAGTTATTTGAAGGGCAGAAGGTCTGCAGCCGCAGGCGGAAATCGGTGAAAAGAAAACATATTGAAAGATGGTACCTTATAATTTACCATACCTGGTGCTCGAGAACAAAGGGAAGAACCAAGGAGGTGAGGTGAAATGGGGTTTAACGTTTTAGCTCACTGAGATACCATGCCACAGTTAAGTTATGAATACCCCACCTGCTCAGACACTTTATAAACTCCGATCCGACCATGAAGCCAACCAGTCCTTGTTTCACCCACCAATGCCGAACGCCTCCCATGCTTTCAGCGGTCGAGGCGGACAGCTCTAACCGCTACACCACCGGGGCGGTCAGAACCTAGGAAAGGTCAGGTTTAGATTGTGCGTATGATAAATTGCCAGATGCTATTTCAGTGGGCTAGCACTGTAAAACGTTACTTCATGACAACGCACTTGTT